TCAAGATCGATAAAATAAAGTACATATATGTGGGAGTGAGAGACAGTAAAGCTAACTTGAAGTTTTGACTCAACGAAACGAAAGGTAAATGTTGATATTCTGGTAATGCATTTCTCTTAATGTGATATAACAGTGTGCTTTGTTGATCAGTTTTTGCAAAGAAAAAATACTCAATCTTGTGGAACAAAATAAGGATGATGACAGCATTAATGTTAATTTTCTGTTTGTTCTGAGTTTTTGGAAAATCCTTCATAGTTCCTTATGATACACTTGTTTGTTATGAAGTATCCCTATACACTGGACAAACTTCCGAGAATAGTAATTGAAAAGAATTCCACTTTGACAAACTCATCTGTCTTAAATCGATAGCGGTGAAAGTGTCGTTCTGTCAAATTGTACTACTGGTTCAAACAAATTATCAGAATTACTGATGAGACAGCAGATTACTTCAACAATATTTTCATAGCTTCCGAAACTAAACCAATGATGTGGATTATACTTTAGTCGAATATCATCAGAGATGACTGACATTTGATATTTCAAAAAGTATAGTGCATCTTTTGTACTGACGAAAGTTACGTCAAGAAGATATGTGAAGTAAGTGAACACCAGAAGAGCTGGAGAAGAAATAGTATTCAAACATTCGGCTATTTTACGCTGACTGGCAACTAAAGGGTAACCAACCAATATACCTGGTCCAGTTCTGTAGGACGTCGGTCGTAACCCAAATGATTCACTGACAATGTCCCTGATGCAGCACAGTGTGACAGGGGTTCAGATCTCAGAGAGGAACACCTTCCTGTCGAAGTTGCAGATACGCCTTAATGATGAGTGGCAACAGGCATGGGACCTCGGTGAAGGGCTTAGTGTCTATTGCCTCCACCCAATTAGCATCCATGCAGGTGCTTCGCAATGGTGAGTCTTTCAGCTTAGTGGCTATATTCTAGAAATGATCGATAAAATTCCACCAGCATATACAACAAGACAACAATAACTTGGTTATGCTGCAGTGACCAATCAAAATAAGGTGTATCGTTCTCTGAGTCGGGGTTTCGTTTTGCAAACGTTTCAGTGTCTTGCTGAACATCAATACCAGTGCATCACAGTCTTACAAGGAAGTGAAGTAGTTGTTTGTGCATGGATATTTGTAACAGTCTACTTTTCTTGAGTCTAACCTGCTTAGTCACTTGGGGTATGTGTATATGTTGGATCTGATTGGTAGTCTTCTTGTTTCTAGTTTTCTCGGAAGGAGGGAGAGGTAATGTTCATATGATTAACTTACATTTGTGTATTAGGAGAGGTGTGCTTTCTGATGATTAGCTGACTTGCTTCAATTGAAAAGTTGTCCTCTCCCACTACTGGTTGGTTACTTTCTACTACAGACGAGTCTTTTTGTATTGATTAGTTACGTATAGGCATCTGATTGGATAAATGTTAGTTATTTTGATCTAATTGGTTGTTAATCATATCACCACAACTTCGATTAGATAAAAAATGTCGGCAAAATAGATCAAGGTGACCTTCACCGGTCCATTCAAAGTAAATGAGCTGGCCAATCACAACAAACAACCTCAATATACTACAAATAAACATAAGAAATCAACCAACCACGTGGTTGCATATCCCATTGAGAAAACCAGAGGCAAGTGAGCGGCCAATCAGATTCAACATACGCCCACACACCGAGTGACCAATCAGGTTAGATTCAGATAAAGTAGCATTTAACAAATATCCATACACAAGCAATTACTTCACTTCCTTATGAGGCTCAGTGTGGTAATGAAACGTTAGCCAACTGAAACTAACTAAAAGAACATATAAAAATAAATAGATCCTTGAAAATATGTTTTAAAAGAAGTATTCATTTAAGTGGAGTTAATTTCAATAGCAAAAATAAGTTTTCGATTATACCACAGTATACACTAATTTCTTACAGACAACTTTTTATTCATACTATGAAGTGTACAACTAATAACTGTTAAAGACGGTGGCGATGGTTTTGTATTAATAATACGATGACTACTTGAACGTGTCAATGGTCGATGAAGTGAAAATGATTTTGTTGAAGATTTTCATTCTTCTTTAGATGCACATCACTCTTTAAGTGAACATTCTTTTTTGCAAACATACTTAAATTTGGCAGAAGTTTTGTTTTACTTTATTTTAATTCTTCCATGATAGTATTCCCAATGGATACATTTAATACTGTATTATTAATAAGTAAGGACAAAAACAGATGATTACTAAAGAAAAGTGAACACTGAATCCTTTCGTTATTAATTTATAAGCAAGCCTATTCTACTTTGTTTAGCTAACAATTTCAGCATGATTAAGGGTAATCGAGGATCATCAAAAACTTGGAGGTTCTGAAGATCTGTTTATATGACTCCGTAAAGAATTCAGTCTAAGAATTTTAAGTTACAGTAATAACTGTATTACCGCTAAGTCACTGGCCCTGAATTCTAAAGCGTAAGTCTTATAACTTTCATGAATTAGTCTCTTATAGCAAGATCACCATCTATTTCTGCAGTTGAGCATTTGTTCTCACTACCTATCTGATGGATTCAGCGGTCACATCTTCTTGATAAAAGTTTAGCAAAACTAACAGATCATCAATAAGCGCTGGTTTTCAGCAATCAGAATATCTTTATTCTATGCATTGTGCTCATCGGTACTGTCTGAACAACCATTAAAAATCATTGAACAGAGGATGTTGGTCACAAATATACATTATTTTCCTGCTTGAATGACTGTTCAGTATACATAACTAGGTAAATACCATTAAGGTTTTGCTGCACATATTTGAAAAGCTTTTAAGCACTAGATTCCAAGTTGAAAGGATTACTCAGTCTTCACAACTTTACAATTAATGTAAATACACTTGTTTGTACTTCAATCCTATTCAATCATATTTTGCTTGACAACTTAACAACTTATTTATTTCCAGATACGGATCGGTTGGTAACATTCTAGACAAAATAAGGCAAAAAGTAACGCATATAAGCATACGACTGTCGTGACAAGCCAATTTCATCGCAAATCCGAGCACAAAATCCAGCATTTCAGTGTCAGTTTTCATGACTTGACCTCATCATCTATGGATTTCTACCCTCCACAAGCTGTTTATTTCAAGTCAAAAAGGATGCTTCAAAAACTGTTTAAATGACTACTGGTGGAATTCGTTTTCAGCTTAGAAAGACGCACTTATTCATATAATTCGTACAACTACCACACTGATCATAGATTGGTTTAAAATCATTGCAGATAAATGTCTTACACGGTTGGTTTTTTAGTCACTTTGAAGCTGGAAACTCCATCCACCGACTCACAATGAAATCTTAGCACTGGAATTTGAAACAAGCTAGCGCGTCTAACTTGACCGCCGATTCCTGGATTTCTCTTTGGTGTATCGTGAAATTTGAAACGAATTATCACGTTTGCGTGAACAGGAATAAATTTTGAAAAGAACTTTTAACTACTTGTAAGTAGGGTGAAAAAGCACGAAAATATTTGATACGTGAACTTTCATCCCAAAGACAGTTTATTCCGAATCACCGGATAAGAAATAACTCTGCTTTTTTTACCAAGATAATTCCTAGAAAAATTTATAATTCGAATGGTTATGAATCAACAAATTAGAAATCCCATCACCTCTTGCTTTCAAATATAATCAATGTAAACAGAACTATAAGTGTAAAACTTGGGCACTGTAATTCCATATTAGATTTGTTTATTTGATATATAGCGCACAGTGATACAGTATTATTTACTTGATGACATCCGAGCATAAATTATTACTGCTCATAATCATATCAATGTAATCACACTTCTTTCGACATCTGATTTTATAGTTCTGTCACCTGATCTCTCTTTGTTTTTTTGTTTTTTGATTGGTAGTAAAGTTTTCCATATCTCTGGTATAGGTGTTGCGTCATTCCTATTACATGTGTTGGGTGTGGATTCGATGAACTAAGACTCAGTAATTAATCTCTCTCTCTCCACCTAGCTATATTTGACTTAAGTACAGTGGTTTTGTCCCATCCTATTGTGTGGTTGTGTGTTAATGAATGTAATGCAATGGCCGAGTGTTTTTCTAGATTATTGATCTTATTGGGGTCTGCCGTTCTATGTTTAGCTAAATTCCTATGTTCTGTTAATCTAATTGATCCCAACCGGCTAGTTTGACCTATGTATCTGACCTCACAGTCATTACATGGAATTTGGTAGATTATATTATTTTGCCTAATTGGTTCTATTGGATCTTTTAGCCGACAAAACTTACCTCTGAGTGAGTTTGTTGGTTTAAATGCCACCCTAATTCCAACCTTGTTGAGAATCCTACATATGGTTTCTGATGTTCCTTCCTTGTATTGTATCACAATAGAGGTGTTGATTTCCTTTCTACTTATGTTGTCACTATTATTTGTATTTGTATTAGTGTTATTATTTTGCTTCTTATGTGTTTGTGTGAATTTCTTAATAAAATGATGGGGATAATTATGAATTATTAACGCTTCTTTTATGTAATAGGAATGACGCAACACCTATGCGAGAAATATGGAAAACTTTATTACCAATCAAAAAACAAAGTGTAAACAGAACTATTTATTTACTTTATAATGTAATCAAATAAAATTTCTGGTGCATAGAAAATAAATCCAAGAAAGAAAAGAAGTCAACGATAACTAGGATAAACTGACAGTAAGGTATCATTACAATAAATAATAATATCCATCATAAAAATTCACTTTTTCTTTGTTTGATTTAGATATCAAGATTAATTATGAGTAGAATTCCAACATGGAAGTAAATTAGTAAAACAAGAAAAACATCTAAGATGAGTTGAAATATTGAATAATTAAAATGAATAACAATAATTGGTAATAGAAAATAATAAAATTAATTAGTTAAATATATAAACAACATGAATAGATAATAAGTTAACAAGAACAATTTTTGACAATGAATTTTGCACTGAAACAATGTTAATTTCTCAATAATTAATCTACTGTACTACGAGCAAGGAATTTTAAATTTAGTGTACTACATTTATGTATGTCTCTGTTATCTATTTGATGAATAGACATCTTTCGATCCGATTGGATAGCTCTGTAAAATAGGGTATAATTACTATTACTATTATTATTATTATTACTGTCATCTAAAATAGGTTTATTTTCATAATAGCTACTCTCTGTGGCGATTGTAGATAAGTTGTTAGTTAATATTTTACTTTTGTATTCATTTATAGCCTCATCATGAAATCCAGAATCTGTAGAATTTTGTTTTTCAGATGATTTCGACAAAGAGTCAAAATGATCATCAACACTTTGATGATTATGGTTATCAATAAGTTTTATATCGTCATTATTATTATTATTATCGTTCATTTTTTGATGTTTAAAATCATTCTTCAACTTCTTTTTCAAAGTATCCTTAACATTTAAATATTGAGATTCATTATTTTTTGACAGTATTTTATAATATTTTGATTGTAATTGACTAATTGATAATTTTCTGTGTAAATCTGATGATTTTTTCATCTTTTTTCTTATTTTACAAAAAACGATACTCTTTTTACCTATATGTCTATGTAAATCATTACAATTTGAATTGTTTACATGAAAATGTCTTAAATTTGTATTTCTTTCATTAAAGTGTATAGTATTTAATTTAACTTTATGAACACAATTTCTAAAGGTAGGTGATTTTAATGTCTGACTGATAATTCGTAAATCATTTATCGCTTTATATTCATAACGATGTCTATGCATAGAGTTATATCTCATCTTTATAATTGGTGGTAATATGTTCAATTTGTCTGTTTGATTAGTTATCTGTTTACGCTTATTATGATATGGAAGTGAGATTGATTCTTGACTTATCAATGAAGATTTATTTATCATTACTTGAGATGAAGTTAAATTTGGAACTTCACTGTTCAATGTTTCAATGTTCGATATATTTGTTTTATTATCATGTTTCAATGAAATTCTTTTTATTTCACTTAATGTTTTCGATTTACTCATATTTAAATTAACTAGTTTTATACATGTTATAGAATTTTGAATTTTATGCATCTTAGTTGGTAATAATAATGATGATGTTAAAGAATTCTTTCTTTTACTATCTTTATCTGTATGCGATGAATACAAAACTGAATGATTATGATTTCCTATTTTATGTGTGATATATTGAATAGATTTACCTTTATGCTTAAGGTTTAATTCTGACAGATTTCGACTATCATTTGTTATATAGGATTCATTGGATTTCATAGATGATTTATACTCATCTATTCCTTCTAATTGTTTCGATTTCAGAGTATATTTATTCCTTGATATATCATTGTGATTAGTAGTTTGATTATTCGATTTTAATAAACAAACATTTGATGCCATATCAGTTAAATATTCAATATCTATGTCAGATTTTATCATATTAATATCACTATCACTTTTAAAGTTATTTTTAGACTGAAATAATTTTAATTGTGAAGCTTGATTTGTTTGAATAATTGATGGTTGTAATCGTTTCAATGAATTCTTTATATTTAAGTTTACAAAAGCTGATTCCTTTGATGTATACCGTTGACGACTAGATAGGCTTTCACATTTTATTGGTGGTAATGTATTATTTATTACTTTTCCTGTCTCTGATGTATTTGATAATTTAACGATTTGTTTCAATGCATATGATTTTATCTGACCACTAAAGGTGAAAAAAATAGAATAAAATGAAAATAGATCAACTTATCTGCTAACATTCTATCAATAGTATAATTATGTACTTGTATTCATTATTTTCTTAAAGATGGAGTATATTACTTCGAAGAAGAAATTCATTTTATCCAAAATCTATGCTACTCTTTAAAATGTTCAAGTAGGAACGAAAAAAACGTGGTAAGTCATAGTATCCTACATTCTCTCATTGAAGAACCTAGGTGGTAAGATTTCCCAAACTTGAACTGACATCACTTGCAAGGACATTGGAAACTTAGGAGTACTAGAGACCTTCCTTGTCGTGGCACGGGACTCTTCAGCAGTGCATACCCATGACCCCACCAGGGATAGAACCCGTGACCCGCAGGTTCCGTGACCACCATGTTACCATTGAGCCACTTGGTCTGAACCCAGTGGTCCATATTTCCAACATAGCGGGACCGCTACTCGATATCATCGTTGAGTATTTGTCCTCACGCCCACCACGTTTGCCCTACTGGTCATCACTTCTCACTGGAACTTCGGGAATTGAATTTTGTTAGTCTTATGTATAAGGTAACCAAATAGTAAAAAGATTACACTATATAGTAATAAGTAGAAAGAATGTTTAATGATGGCTGCTTAGATTTCCACATCATTGTAAATGATAAGTATTCATTATGAGCTGACGTCACTGGGGGAACCATTGAAAATTTAGGGGCACTGGACAACTGCTTCATTCTATTATGGGATTCCTCATCAGTGCGCACTAATGACCTCGACAGTACTTATCGGTGACTAGCTTCGAGGGGTGGTTTTCGAAGTTCTAATGAGAAGTTGTGACGGGTAGGACCAACTAAGCTGAACATGAGCACAGTTAATCAAGGATTCCATTCGATGGAGGTTGTGCTATATTGTGGACTGGCAGAAGCGGGAGATTTGAACCATTAGATTTCAACCCAGTGGCTCAAAGGTAGTGGGCTAGCCAAGAAATCTCAAGGTCCTAGATTCCATCACTGGTAGACTAATGAGTGGGCACTGCTATGGAGTCCTATAATACGACAAAACATCTATCCAGGGCTCACAGGTCTCCTATGTTCCTCCAATTGATTTCAGCTCATGATGAATACCAACATGAAATCAATCAATAAATCCTCACAAACCTTCAAACTGAAATGATTAGGACCTCATGGTTCAGTGGTCTTGTGGATAGTGTTTCAGCATTTGAAGTGATAGCTGCTTGATTCCAGTCTTAGTGCAAAAAGCCTCACTCCTTGGGGTGTAGGCACATCCAGCTGACAAAACCTAAGTGGGGTGAGATGCGCATCCTGGATTCCACTGCTGTCTATCATCAGGGAAACTGAAATAGACGATATCAAGGCATCAGTTTAACAACCCACCAACCAACAGAAGTCGATCAGTTAGGTCCATAATAACATAAAGAAATTACACAGATCAATAAACAATGATTGGTATACTAATTAGAGATGTTATAAAGTTGTCAACTTTAAATCAGTTTTTAGTAAATTAAACGATATCAGAGTAATAGAGTAATTTACTTTTTATATAACATGTTTTAAACATGTATATTAATAAATTCATATTTGTATATTATTTACAAAGGGATTTCAATAACAATAAATCCAGGTAAAGAATATATATATACCCTTCATCTTGAAGATTATTTTCATCCACTGAGGTTTATTTTAATATGAGGAAGATAATATTGTACATTGAATATTCGTCAAACTTGTGACTAAGGGTCTACGATTTTTTAAAATTTGCTGATAAATACAGTAGAATAAATGTCAGATTAATACTCTGAATATTTCAACGTAACCTTAATAATTTTAATTATCTCCTGAGTAGTTAGTGGATCAAACATTTAGCCATTCTGAAGAGTAAAATTTAATGATAAAAATTGATTAATTCCACTAAAGTTATAGTAGACTGAACTCTTTTAACAGTAATAAATAAACATCCAGTTCATAGTTGTTGTATATTATCTGGGTATTTTTGATTAACAAATCTGATTTAATCAGTAAATAAGTAAGTTTTTTCGTCTAATCCCAGGGTGTTAAGACAATCAAATCAACAGAATAATTTGCTGAAGCAGCCATCACTTCAAATGCTGAAACACTATCCACAAGACCACTGAACCATGAGGTCCTAATCATTTCAGTTTGATGGTTTGTGAGGATTTATTGATTGATTTCATGTTGGTATTCATCATGAGCTGAAATCAATTGGAGGAACATAGGAGACCTGTGAGCCCTGGATAGATGTTTTGTCGTATTATAGGACTCCATAGCAGTGCCCACTCATTAGTCTACCAGTGATGGAATCTAGGACCTTGAGATTTCTTGGCTAGCCCACTACCTTTGAGCCACTGGGTCGAAGTCATGGCATACACAGTGAAAAGTTGAGAAAATTTTTATTTTAATGTTCTAAGCACTTTGGGATCATTACTGAAACTTACATAGTATTCCAACGGTCCTTCAAAATTGAGGTTAAAAAGGAGATATCGCATAATGCAAAACTGTTAATCTAGCATGATTCAAAACTCAATATTCTATTGATCTAAGACGACTGTTATCAAATAATGACAGTCGATAGAAGAAAAAAAGTACCACTATTATCCAATTCAATATTCTCATTTTAAAAGTAAAGTACCCCATAGACGAACTAGCCAGAAGCTAAAAGTGGAGATTTAATATTCAGACGACGGAGAAAAATGGAACAGGTCACCTGATCAGAAATTATTTTGTTTTTTTATAGTCATCAGCTTATTGATTGAAAGAAACACTTCTTTAAGAAGTTAGTAGCTAAGCACTACTAATTTTAAGATAAAATATGGCTACAAGGATGAAGTGTTGGTTAACCTCATATCAATAAGAGGTTAGTAAAGTGTTTCATTGTCCTTTTACTCACATCTTCAGCTTTATAAGCATCTACCTACATAAAAATCGACTTATCAACCCGAAGAGGTTTACTGGGGACATTGATTACGTTCCTTCAACTGATTCATACAGACAATTTAATCATACAAGGGGTCTGTTGTACCGTAGATATTTTAACAGTAAAGTTTCCGATTTCAGCTTTGACTAATATAACTTCAAATGTTACAGAGTTCATTCCTTTCTTAGAATTGTAGATAATTTTTTACTGATGAATGCTAACAAGTAAGAAAACTAGTTTTATAAATTACTGATGACTGACAGGTAACATCTAATTTGCATATATTTTGAAATGAGAAACAATTAAGAGTAGTCTGAATGCATTTTCGATAAGCATAATATCTATTGTGATAATTAACCAAATCTTAGTTTGTGGGGAAAAATATTTTCATAAACAAACGGAATACCTTACTTTGAATGTCAAAAATGTGTTACAGTTTGATTTTTGTCAAATTAGTCCTACTTGTACTACCTTTCTTGTTTATACTGCTTGATCCAGCGTCAACAGTTTTGATGTGTCTTGATTACATTGATCATTAGCTTCAAAAAGACTATCGTTTAAATTTCCGACTATCTGATTTCCTACTTTTGCAATGGTCTCATACATAATAGCTATATCATAGATCAGAAAAGATTCCTGTGCAGTACCTTTAATGGGTACAAATTGCTCTCCTACTAAAAATGAAGTATCACAATCAGAAATGAAGCAGCATGCGTTTAAACAAATCGAAGTAATTTGTTATCATCATTAATTTCCCCTTGGGTTCCTTGTGGAACATAGGGCTTCAGTAGCACGCCTCCATTCCACTCTCTCCTCTGCAGCCTTCTCAACCTGGATGCACGACTGCCCACAAGCTCTCATTTCCTCCTCACACAATCTCCTCCATATCACCCTCACCTCGGACGCCCAACTCGTCGTTTCCCATCTGGGTTCCACTCGAGTGCTTGGTACATGATGTCCCCAGTTGGCCTTCTCAGTGTATACCCGGTCCATCTCCACTTCCTTCTGCATATTTGTTGTGTGATAGGTTCTTGGTTGGTTCGTTCCCAGAGTTCCTTGTTGCTTATTCTTATTATTCTGGCTATCTGATCTCCAATGTCGAGCCAGCGTAGGCAGCTGTTGATGAATGTCTATAGTTTGCTGGAAGTGCTTTTCCTGACGCGTCAAGTTTCTCAATCATATAGCAGAACTGACCTGACATTGGTGTTGAAAATCCGGATGTTGTTCACGCTTTATACTGAGTGCAGTAGACCTCTACACTGATTTCAGATTGGTGAAAGCCTGTCTTGTTGTCTTTCTGACCCTGATTTTGACATCCTCGTCTGTACCGCCGCCTGTAGTTGAAACGATGCTGCCCTGCCTGGATAGGTGAAAGAGACTACTTCCTTCACATTTCTCCCGTTAGTGGTGATGGGTGCTTGTTGTTGATGCTGTTGTTAGTTGGCTATCTTTATTACCTCCGTCTTCTCTAAGTTCATCTGAGGGAAGCCACGTCTTCGCTGCTTCGCATCGCCTCACCTCTTCTGTCAACTTGTTAGTTTTCGCCTGTAGATCTTCAAGTTCGTGGGACACTAGACATAAATCATCGGCGAAATGAAAATCTTTTTCTGGGGTCTTCTCATCGGTCCAGCCAGCGTATGTCCATCTTCTCGCCCCTGAAAAGGTAGCCCTTCTTCCAACCAACAGGTAGGTACCTTTCCTTCCTTCCAAACCCTCTGCAGTAGTGGCGTGAGCACGTCCGTTGTTGTCTCCACGTCTGTTTTCAATACTTCTGGCGGGATTCCATCTGATCCTGCTGCTTTGTGGAATCGAACCAATTAGTAATTAATAAGCAGTCTAGTTAATTCACTAATAATTAGCAATTAAATAATCATACTGTAACATAATCGACAAGAAGAAATGAATACCTCTTGTCTTTAACAGACGATGAAACAATATTCACATCTGAAACCATTGTTGACTGATGATAATTGAAACCATTCAGCGTTGTTTTATGCAGACAACGTGATATATTCGTATTTTCCGATTGCGGTTTAACAATTTTTAATCCAGTCACATAAAGTTCCATCCCAGTATACATACTGGATGAATAATGAAAATTTTGTTTATACAATAATTCAAAACGTCCCACATCAGAATTACGATTAGATTTTCTATCTAAAACAACTGGTAAAAGAGAACATTGCAAAAGTGTAGTACAATCGAATCAATGTGTCCAGTTCTATGACGTAATGATTGAATATGGGATATTGAAAGTATTTTGTTAAAAATAATTTTCTTAATATGATGCATTCTTGTAGTTCGAGTTGCTCGACCTCTGTTGGTAGATTGACTAATAACCGGATGCCTCGATGCTGCCAGTTATTAGCTATTTTGCATTCATATTAGTGACTAACAGTGAAACCCAGGACATGTATTTCATCTAATTTAGGACTCGTAAGCTGAATGCACTTGTACCCCAGTGATGTTGTTCCCACTCAGACCCGTACTCAGTACCGATCGCTTCAAACTCCAAAGGGTTACCCATTGGGCCACTAGGGCATGATAGCCACAATTTGTTTAGAGAGTATGAATAAACACCAAGTTATACCCGTTGCACAAGTGGTGGCATTTGAAGCGATAGGTAGTGGGTACGAGTCACATAGGGAATAAATACACTCACTAGGGTGAGGGTATATCCAATTGACGAGTGCTAGGTGTGATAAAACGCGCATCCTAGATTCTTCTGAAGGCCACGAAGTAAACTACATCATATTTCACCCGTTTAAGGCATTGCCTCTACGCTTCCATGTTTCATTTAATGCCTTAGTCGGCATTATGTGTGTGTGTTTATCCTTTTATTGCATAACAGCACATAAAATCATGTATGTAGGATGAAAAGGTGATGAGTCTTACTTAAATTTACAAACTTACTAAATCTTGCCCAAAGAAGGCTTGTGGCTTGCTTTAAAGGTGTATCAGGGAAACAAGTGTTTTCAGTAGTTTCAATGCCAACGAATACATTAATTGTTATCTTGCTATTGTTATTAATGGTTTATGATCAGGCTTAAATTATCCTCTTAACATATAACCACTTTCATTTGACTAACTGAGAGAGCGGTAGTTTGGCAGACTAGTATTTATACTAGGTGATGATTGAAGGTGAAATGAAAATTTGGACAGCAGCTGGATTCGAACCAGCGATCATCGGGTTTCCAGAGCAATGTGTTAACAACTGAGCTACGAGGTTCAGCTGCTCACCAGATTCTTGTTCACTTCAATCAACGTGGGTTTTAGGCGACTACTATGTGAATTCGTGACATGTTACCACCGCTTGACCTCATTCATACTGGCTGCCTAGTCAGGACTTCTCATCTCAACCCGAACCTAACTGAATTAGAGAGGAGAATCCTCATATTGATCATCATTTTTGACTATCTGAGATAGCTGTGGTTTGGTAGACTAGCATTTATATTGGGTGATGATTGAAATGAAATAAAAATCTGGTCAACAGTCGGACCTCGTAGGTGAGTTGGTAGAACATCGAGCCGGAAACCCGGTGGTCTCTGGTTCGAATCCAGCCGAGGTCCAGATTTTCATTCCACCTTCAATCATCACCCAGTATAAATATAAACATTTGTTGGTTTGTAGAAATTTACTGATAAATAAGTACAGTATAGAATTAATCAGAAATCTAATTAAGGCTTAGAAAACAAGCGCTTTGTTCTTGTTTTGAAGGGTATTTAGTCAGTCAGATACTCTAGAATTTATGCTAATTTCGATAACTTCACTTTATTTTTATCCATCATTCTTTTAGGTCAGAAAACTTCTCAACAGTTGAAGAATAATATAATTCCTGGATCGTTCAACAGCTGATCATATATGAATCAGTTTTAAACAAGATTCTTTCTATTATCATATATATGTCTTTCGGTATATTTTCTGCAAACTTTATCTTCTAAAAATCTCATTACCCTCATGAAATCTTTCTCAAATGATAAATATCATCCATCTATTTTCATACAAGATGGAAAAAGTAGTAATATATATGAACTTATACAGAAATATTATAAATTACCTTTCAATGTATCTTCTAAAACATTTGAAGTGTAAACAGCTGTAACTGATGTACTCGGTGACATACATGGACTTGAATTAATTTCAATAAGCCATATTTTGAAATCATCAGCGGTTAACAAGAAATCTGCACCATATAGACCGAAACAATTCTGAATGATTAAAAGATTAATAAAATTGAATTTTGAGGGAGTTGTTGGGGATTTGGAAATATTTTAGGTTGTTATTCATTGTAGACTGACATCAGTTGGAGCTAACAGAAGTTGGAAATATGGACCATTGGATTGTGACCTAGTGGCTTAATGGTAACATGCTAGCCACGGAACCAGGAGGTCGCGGGCTCGATCCCCGGCGGGGTCGTAGGTGTCCACTGCCGAGGAGTCCATGCTAAGACGAAACAACTGTCTAGTACTCCTAAATCTTCAATGGTTCTCCAACTGACTTCAGTCCATGATAAATACTACTGGAAGAAACGAGAAGACGGAGGCGCAGGAAGGAATATTTATTATTCACATCTTGTACAGTAATCATCATATACTTACTGTACACCTTACACTAAGACATTTATTAGCATATCGTGCTTCATTTCCTCTTCTACTTCTATCTTGATTCGCCCTCAATACGCTCACATTGTCTCGTCTCTTGCATTTCTCTGTGCAGAATCTTTACTCACTGCTGGTAATTGCCTATGATTTCAGTCACCCTCTCAACATATATTACTTATTTACATTCTGAATAGCAACGCCTACTGCACTCACCCCGTGTCAAAATTTCGGGCGTGCAGTCATGTTAATCGTCTTGATGCTGTCCTTTCTTGGCGTTCATGGAAAGTTTCTTCTTTTTCCACCGTCTCTATTTTTGAAGTAAGCTAGCGTTTACTCTTTTCTTTGTCCCCTTTTTCCATAGTATAAACTGAACCACGTCTCTCGGTAACGACGTACGGTCCTTCCCACTTCGGGAGCAGTTCTCTTCTACTACATTCACCTCCTGACGTATACTGTCGTTCTCTACATTTCACTTGATTTCCGACCTCAAACGGTTCCCATTTATTCCCTTCTATCTGCTCGGATTTTTCAGCACCAGCTTTCGGTTTTTGTCCCACGTTTCTGATTGCCCGTTTCCGCTCCTTTCTCAATCTTGTTATGTTTCACGGTTGCTGTTGGGGCCAGGTTTTACTATGTATTGGGAGCCGTGGCTCCCTGCTATACACTAACTGAAACGACGACTTCTTGGTTGTTCCTTGTACGGAGGCATAATGCACTAATAATACTGACGTCAGTTCCGTCTCCCAACTCCCTCCTTTCGAAGCCAGCTACACCTTAAGTGTACGGTTATTTCGTTCTGTCAACCGGTTAGTCTGCGGGTGGTACAGCATCGTACTTATCCTCTTGATAGCGAGCTGCTCCAAACAGAATTTGAAATCTTCACTCTCAAGACAAGGACCTTGGTCGGTCAATAACATCTCGGGCACACCGTGACCCACGAAAATATGCTACATCACCGCTGCGACCACTGTCTTCACACGTTGATCAGGAATTGCGATAGCGTCTACCCATCGTATAGCGTGCTTTGTCATCACCAACAGGTATTGGTTGTCACTAGATGTCTGCGGAAATGATCCCATTGCGTCCACAGACAACCGGCCACCGACTTCTGGTACTGGAATCGACTGAAATGGCAGTCGTATATACCAGACGCCTTTCATCGACTGGCAGTGAGGACAGCCCAGCACTTGCTTGGCAACATCTCTGGTACTCGGCCAGTATGCACTTTGTGTGAGAAGGTCGGCTGTCTGTGGGACACCTGTATGAGCTAACTAGTAGCATTCTTGCATCGTTTCGTCGCGTAGACACTTCGGAATCACTGCTAATCAGCTCGCCTCGTCAACATTCCATAAGTATTCACCCTCAGGCGTTCTTTCTGCGTCAACAACGTTTTCAAATCTTTATTTCCCTTAGACTTGTCTATCTCCGTTCCTTCAGTTATGGCTTTTATCGCTTCTTTAAGTATGCGGTTCGACTTCTAAAGGCGAATAAGTCTTAATGGGTCCCTCTCTACTGCATGTACACCGTTTGAGATCTCAGGTAGTTCATTTTTTTCGTCTGATCCTCATAGGAAGTCTGCCAAGCAGTTTTCTTTCCCTACCATATGACCGCTTGTGAAATCGTACTCTCGCAGTCGCAACATCCAACGTCATAATTTCCCTCTTGAGTCTCTCATTGTCTTTAGCCACTGTAGAGGTTTATGATCAGTTTCAATATGGAATCGTTGACCGTGGAGGTACGGTCTTCATTTATCCAGCGCCCACACTACCACCAGACATTCTTTTCTAACTGTAAAATATTTCAGGACACGGCTGGCATACTCCACTACTCCTCCAGTCTGTCTCAAAACTGCGCCTATTCCATAATCACTCGCATCAGTGGATACGATGAATGGCCTCCCAGGTATCAGTAGTTTTAAAGTCATCTCCTGGTCAGTTAAGAGTTCCTTGATGTGATCAAATGTTTTCTGCGCCTCTCTTGTCCACGTAAATTTGCGTTTACCAAATAGCTTGTATAAAAGTGTTGCTATCTTGTTGAAATTTTCGAGGAACTGACTGTAGAATGATGCTCTACTGAAGAACTGTTACGATTTCCTCTTTGAATTCAGCACTGGAATAGTTTTAACGTCAGAATTTCCTCCGGCAATGGTTTTATTTCACTTTTTCTTAATTTTATGTGCTAGTAATATTACACTCTTCTTGGCTACCTGAGATTTTGTCTTATTGATGCGAAGTCCAAACTCATCAACGTGTGTTAAAACAGCTTCCATGCGTTCTAGATGTTTGGCTTCCGTCTGACTGTACACCACCAGGTCGTCACCATACACCTCTACGTTCTCCAAGTTCTTCAGCAACCAATTCATCAACCGTCTAGATGTAAATGGCGCGCCTGTAAGACCAGATGGCATTCTCTTGAACTGGTACTACTTCTTGCCCACAATAAAGGCTGTTTTCTCTCTATTTCTTTGCTTTATTGGTAGCTGCCAGCAGCCTAAGCGGAGGTATAGGAACCGTAAACACTTTTGCATTCTGTAGACGATCCAGTGTTTCAGCTACCGTGTAAATATTAAATATTCCTTCCTGCGTCTCAGTCTTCGCGTTTTCTACACAAGTATATAAATTTACGATCGACTTTACTTTGTTTACCCTGAACTTGAGCATTGATTTCTCTGTAATTTTGCCCCAGCTAAGCACTACTTTCAAGAAAGAGGTGATTAAATACTTTTGATTTTCTCATGTAATCCGTTTTCAGTAGATATTACTATGATTTTACGCGGTACCGAGAACCCAAAACGTCAATATCTAGTCGTTTTCGGAGGTAGTAAATTTTTATAAATGTCAAAATAGTATTTTGGTGGAATTGTGTTATCTAAGCTGGATGGTTTATTCCTGAAGCTTTCATTATCATTCTACTGTACCATCAGAAAGAAATGAGCTAAGAGATTTCCTCCACGAGTGGTTTATCAATGTCTGCTAATGACCTTAAGTGTGGCTAGTTCTGTTAAAATCTTGTTATCGTCTCTTTAAATATTTCAACTGGCTATCCTGCTGATATGAACTCTAACTTCTTTGGTGTTTCCTCTTTTTTTATTGGTTGATAGACTGGGTCAATGTCAATTTCTCTGCTGACCAGTAACTGACCTTAGTGTTACACTTCCAAAAAAGTTGCAGACATCCTTTATATTCACTTTAGGGGTTTGTGAGGATTTATTGATTTCACGTTAGTATTCATCATGAATTGAAATCAGTTGGAGAAACAACAGAAAACTGGGAGCACTAGACTGCAGCTGTTTCGTCCTACTATGGGACTACTCAGGAGTACGGACTTATGACTTCGCCTGGGCTTAAGCCCAATGCCACTAGGTTCTGTAGCCAATACGTCACCACTGAACCACTAGGTGGGAATCTAGTCGTTCTTTGCATTTCCTCTTTTCAAGATTTCCTCACTTTTCCAATTAGTTTCAAATCAACAGCTGTCTATACACATTGACATGAGCAAAGATGTATCATAATGCTTCACTACCAGTTGATATTTATGTAGATGGATATGAAGAAAATGATCATGTTGTCTGATGTAGTGAATTCCACAGTTTCTGCACTTTATTTTGTCGATAACACTGGGCTTTCCTTCTTTTGCTATTGTGTCTTTCAGACTGCATAACACGGTTTGAAGAGATTTCATGTGTACTACTGAGATCTCTAAAGGTGTCCGTATCACCTCCAAGATACCATCAGTATGTATCTCACCATATACTCAATACATACAATATGCTTATATGAATAAATGTAATCATAGCATAGGAATAACTAGGTGAACAGATCACTTCTACCTATTCATAACAATTTGTAAATTTTAACTCATTTTGTTAATATGGAAAAACAAGCGAAAGTTGAAATGATTTTCCTTAAGAAAATAGAGTTAAAAACAAAATAAGGTCAAAATATCAATTTACAGATTGAATGATTTCGTCTTCACAAAATGGTGACCTTAATAACCTTAGTAACCATTAGTAACTTATTGTTGTTTTAATGATGTGCAATTTTCAATTGGACGTTTACATTGTTTGAATTGATTACTAGATTCCTATAGAGATTAAAACATAAATACAGTAATTACTCCTCATTTTTCCTATTTTATTTTATAAACATTAAAAAGTTGAATTATGAATAGTAGTTCACTAATATTACTAATTAGAAGTGACCTTAGAAGTTCACTGAATTTTAGTGTATTTTATCAAACACCAAGGTAATTTGATTTGAAATTTATGGAAAAGTGCACTTTGTAATTTTGAATAGTTTACAGCAACTTAACTCGATATAATTGACCAATAAAATTATGGTCACGCTTTATCGCAAATCAACTGAAATGGGAAAATGTGGACCATTGGATTCCGATCCAGTGCCTGAATGGTCATGTGTTCGTCACGAAAGCTGATGATTTTATCGCAGAAGTTATGGATGTACACAGCTGAGGAGTATAATACTAGGACTAGATAGCTGTCTAATACTTCTACGACACCGGGTGACATGGGTTCGAATCGCAGGCCGGACATCAAATCTGTCAAGGTTGCAGATGCACCTTGCTGACGAGTACCAACAAGCACGAAACCTAGGTTCAGGCATTCCTGTCAACTGCCTCGATCTAACTAACATCTACTAATGTGTACCGCGATGCTGAGCCTCTTAGCTTGGTCGCCGCATCCAAAATGGTTGATAGAATTCGGTCTGCACTCAGGACTAGACAACATGAAGTTGGTTGCTCTCCCGTGATCAACCAATGTATGTAATCCAGTTCTACAGGGGGTCAGTCAAGGTCCGAATAGCTCAGTGGTAACGTCACCGACCACAACACTGGGTGACACAGGTTCGAATCTCAGGCGGGATATCAGTTCAGTCAAGGTTCCAGATACGTCTTGCTGACGAGTGTCAACAAGCATGAAACACATGTCCGGGTCTTCGTGCCAGTTGCCTTTAACTAACTAACTTCTAGGTTTTCCATTATTCTGCAACTTATGGTAATTCGTGATGAATAGTACGCTGAAATCCCTACAGTTACGTTGAGGTTGCAAAAGTTAACAAGACAATATCTACTGAAGTAAGGCTGATAATGAAGATACCTGCTATTTACTGACAACTGATTGAATGAATATATATATATATATATATATATATATATATATGCACTAAGTGGTACGGTTAAGACCAACGAGAAACATATCATGATTGCATTTATACCTTACTTATTGGTATCAACAGTCCCTAAACTTAAGTCTAAAGTTGTATAAGGATACCACAGTGCAATGGATTACATTGCTGCATTGCTTAGCTTAGTTAGCATATTGCAAATTTAATCAAAACTTCAGACAGAACTAAACACTTAAAGCTTTACAGTGTCATACGTTACTATTTTGTGACCAATATAGTAAGTCAAAGTATAACATTGTGAAACAACAGCAAACAAAAGATCCAGTAAGTTAAGCAAGAAGAATGAATGAAAGTAAGAGAGATTTATGCTTTGAATGAAAATATAGTGAAAAGGTGCAATAAATTGAATGTGCATTTTATTGAACTAGATTTAAGTCAAAATTTATACAACTTCTAAACGACAATTTAGATTAAATTGACTGATCACTACAGAATGTTGATTGAATTCTATCGGCGATTTTGTAATGTGGCTATCAAGCAAGAAAAGTCACCTTCTTTATGCACTGAGATAGATGTTATTTAATTGAATGGAGGTGATGGACAGGAAACTCTGAATCTAAGTTTCATGCACTTTGAAACTCCTCAGCAACCTCAAAGAAACTGATGCCACCAATAAGATTCGCATCTAAATCATCCATCGTTACGGTCAACAAACAACCTTACTACTGAAAGTTATTTGAGAAACTGATGGCATCTCCTTGAGGTTTCAGATACGGTTTCCCGACAAGTGGAAACAAGTCCGACTGCCTTCAATAGACTAACGAGTTTTAGTTAGTTGAACAAACGAAGTATGCTACTGGAGATTACCAGTAGTTAGGAACAGCTAACATTGATATAAGCATCAGATAGATAGTTCACTTGTTTCAAGCGAGCCTTATTGGTGGTTTATCTGGTTAAATTCAATTCACGGAGACGAGTCGTTCAGACCAACTATATCTTAAATAGGTGACTCGGACGATTTTATATTGAAAGGAACAGGAAGACAGGTACTTAGGAAGGACCAAGTGGGACAATAGTCGTTAAATATGGTACACTTTGCACTAAAACCGTCATTTGCAAAATGTGCTTCATTTCCTCTCCTGCTTCTTTCTTGATTTGCTCTTCATACGCCTGTCTCGTATCTTGCGTTTCTCTTGGCGGAATCCTTGCCCATTGCTGGTAATTTCCTATGATTTCTGTCAACCTCTCAACATATACTACTTATATCCATCCTTATCAGCAACGCCCGCTACAATATACTATAAACTGAACGAGCAATTTGTAAAATTATTTACATACTGCTGGAAAATGCTGACAGTAAACATGACTGATTTACAAATACTCATAGTGTTCAATAACAACTTGTATGAATTGACGACAATTTTTTAGCAGACAGAGCACTTTGCGATTTCCATTAGATTGTTTCCAACAAAAACCCTACTAAAACCACATTTGGGTAGTTTTAAAAATCTGTAACAAATGCCAATACGAGATGTGTAATCTGCAAATAATTTAAGAATTAACAGTGTAGTTAACTGAATGTAGTCAAAAGGTTTATTAAAGTGATGTATTCCCCGTCGTTGTCACTACTATGAGGAAGCAATTCTAGAGTGTTCGGAAGTAATGATAGAAAGTTGATTGACTGAAAGATAAAAAACCACATAGTGTAATATGGTATGGTAGACTGATAAGCACTCAAGAAATGAAATTATTGATCGGTCACACTTGATTCATGACTTCTTAAAACCTAATTTGTCAGTTATACTGACAAATCGTATTCTTTCGACCATTGTTTATAAACAATAAATAAAACTCCCAATAATATGAACAGATATCATTTCCTACATTCATGATGGATAGTGGCTAGCATTGAAATCCACAACACACGTTCCGTCTTATTTGGGACTCATCACCCGAATATGTCCGCCTATGAGTGAGCGGCGTTGTTCTCACCAGGATTGAAACTTAAAATCGATCACTTTAAACATCAACGAGTCACGAAAGCCACAATCAACAAAATTAGATTTCATTTAACTTATAAAAGTTACTCAAAACGGAATGGAAGGCTACAAGAAAACCAAGATGCTTCAAACTTATGTTGGCTATGTTGTCTTGTACGACGCAAATCATTAGTTGAACAAAAAGAGGAAATAGAAACACTATTGAAGATCTTGAGAAAGTCGTCAAATAGCTGTTACTTACTCGTTAAGTGACTGTGGTTGTGCGAATAATATGGTCTTACAGTAAAGACAACCTTAAACATTTTGCTCTCCATAAAATCTTTAACTTGGGGTCACTGGACAGTTATTTCGTACTAGAATGTAACTCTTCAGTAGTATGCACTCACAACCATATCAGAGATCGAACCAAGGACGTGTTAATTGCTCCCAAGTTTTCAATGGTTCTCAAACTGATATCTGCTCGGGATGAATACCACCTTAAAACCAATAATTTCCTACGAACCTTCATCATAAAAGTGCCACAAAAGATCACAAATAACTTACTTTTCTAGGTTCAATTAACTCTTGTGCAGATAGTAATGCATTTAAAACAGCATTTTTCATTGATGGTTGAATATTCTCCTTCCATAAATTTGGATGACCTTGTTCACTGGATTAAACAAAATGATACAAGCAGTTAATTAATAGAAAAGAAAGCTTGATTTCTGACTCAAAATCTATAAAAACAATATAGATATATGAACATTATACTAAGCAAACCAAATCCATTTATCTGAATATAACGTGGTACTATGTATGCTTGATGAATATCTGATAGACAAACTACACAGATCACATTCAGTGAAAGCATAAATACTTGTTAGTTAAAATGACATAATTCTGATAAGTGATTTCAGGAAACCTTCCAAACTTCTAGCATGGAATATACAAAATAAAACCTGAGCATAGGAATAGGTGATTTGTTTTCATTCAGTTAGCATTTCTGCCAAAAAAAACATCTTCATCAACCACCTTTTTTAAAAACTCCATACACTTACATTCCTTGATAAATAGCAACAAAGTAAGAAAGATGAGATTTGTAGGATAAAATGGGATTTCATTTCACTTCGAGAATACTCCTCAGCTGCTGCATACAGTTTAAAAGTACAGTGGCTATCAAGACATAAGATTTTTTTAAATTAGGCAATCATTAGTCCTAAGTTGTAGAACGAAATCATTGATAATCCATATAACATGTAAGAGAATTACGAATTGTACACAGGTATGAAATGTAAGAAAAGAAAAGTAATAAATAAAAAGTTATGTAATTAAAATGAAACAGGACCAAATCAAATTCAATAAGGGAGTGAGAGACTAACCATATCCTCCTTTCGCTTGTCAAGGTCAGGTCAGTCCTCTCTGCAAAACGTAGTAATCTAGACATTCTCTATATGTGAGTTATCATTTTGACGATCTGAGATACCCGTGGTTTGGCAGACTGGTATTTATAATGGGTGATGATTGAAGGTGAAATGAAAATTTGAACAGTGACCAGGTCCAAACCAGAGACCACTTGGTTTCCGGCCCGATGCTGGAAACCCGGTGGTCGCTGGTTCGAATCCGGTCGCTGTCCAAATTTTCATCTCACCTTCAATCATCACCCCGTATGTTAAATATTTTAAAAGCACCCGAAATTTCAACTTGATGTCCAGTGTCTACAAGGTGTCTGGTGATTGCAATGGTTAGAATTTTACTTCCTTTCAAGCGCATGGATGCCATTCTCTCAAGTCTTCCTAATACATTCGCCGCCATAAGTAAACGTAAATTTATAAATGCAGTTGGCGGTGACATGACCAGTGTAATTATCTAATTTTAACCGGTCCAGCGAGCATAGGGTGAACATGATTTGATCCTGTTTCATTTTCATCATGTAACTACTTATTTATTTATTCATTATTACTACTTTCCCTACCTTACATTTCTTGTTTCTCTACAATTAATTCAGTTACATATTATGTGGATTATCAATGATTTTGTTGTAAAATTTAAGCTTATTGACTTTCTAATTTTGAAATATCTTATGTACTACTATCCACTGGACCTAAGTCTTCGCAAGAACTGGTGCGGAATCACGTTCCTGTCCACCCAAAGCAAGCAAAATATTAAGCCGCGTCAACCTGGAGAGGCTAAAGGATGCACTCCATTCAAAACTACCACCGGAACAGGCTGGCTGGCTGGATTCAGGAAGTACAAATCATATACGGATCAAATTGCAACGCTACGCTTCATATCATCAGAGAACAGAGTAGAGAAGAGCAGTCAACTCTCTCTCTCTCTCTACCTCAACTTCATCGAATTTGAAAAGGACTTCCACAGCATCGACAGACAAGTAATTTCGAAACTGATGCTTCAACACTACAGTTTCACTACCACAAACCACTATCAATCTCATTCAACAACTAGATGAAGACGCCACACACCAAGTATTTGACAACGGGAAGCTCAGTGATGCCTCTGAAGTAAAGACAGGAGTAAGACAAGGTTGCCACCTACTTCCATCCATCATCTTCCTGATTGTGGTCGACTGACTGGATCATACAACAGACTACTGTGGGAGGCGAGAAGACGGGCAGACACTGGCTGCATCGATGTAAAGATCCTAGAAGACTTGGATTTCACCGATGACTCGTGTCCAATGTCACACAAACTTGAAGATCTACAGTCAAAATTCAACAAGTTGACAGAAGAGGCAGGGCAGTGAAGACGAGACTTCGAGTGAATGTAGAGAAGACACAGGTGATGAAGATACCCAACCAACACCACCACCACCACCAACAACAACAAACTCCAATCACCATCAACGGGAGAAACCTGAAGGAAGTAGTCTCTTTCACCTACCTAGACAGGACAGCATCCCTCCAACTACAGGTGGTGGCACAGGCACAGACACAGACACAGACGAGGACGTCAAAGCCAGCTAGGATTGGAAAGACAACAAGACAGGCTTTCATTAGCCAGAAACCAGTGTGGAGATCTTCTGCACTCATTATGTGGAACAAGATCCGGATTTCCAACACCAGCGTCAAGTCAGTGCTTCTATATGGCTCAGAGACTTGTCGCGTTACGAAAGGGATTTCCAACAAACTACAGATATTCATCAACAACTGCCACCTACGCTCACTCGTTACTGCAGATCAGATGGCCAGAATAATAAGAATCAGCAACAAGGAACTCTGGCTGGCTGGTAACGAACCAACCAAGAAATTATCGCCTAACAAATATGCATAAGGAAGTTGAGATGGATTTGGCATACACTGAGAAGGCCGACTGGGGACATCACGTGTCAAGCCCTTGAGTAGAACCCCGATGGTAAGTGACGAGTTGGGCGTGGAGGAGATGGTGTGAAGAAGAAATGAGAACTTGTGGGCTGTCGTGGAGCCAGATTCAAAAGATTTCAGAGAACAGAGTGCACTGAAGACGTGCTACTGAAGCTCTATGCTCCATTAGGAACCTAATGGACAAATAATAATATAAATAATATCCATTGGACTTTTAAACTGTATGCAGCTAAAGAGTATTCGAGCAATGAAATGATGTGATTTTATTCCGCAAATCTCATCTTTTTTGTTTCATCCAAATCACTTTTTAAACTTCCTTAATATTGTTCCTTCTTATATTGATTTTTACATACTTTGTAGAAAGTTTTTAGAACAGAAATCAACATACAAGTTTCTTACAAATTTCATTCAATACACCCAGCCCAAAGTAGACCGTTACAGAAAACCAATAAGATACTTAGAAAAAAGCCATGAAAGCTGAGTACCAATTAAGGGAAAATCGATAATATGCTTGAAACTTTGAAAGTGACAAACACTAGACATTCCTAAACTAGGATAATTTATTGTGATCTAAGCCATCAAAAATTTTTATATTAGTGATTCGAAATACAAAAATCATAGTCAATTAACTTATACCCCTTTACATCACTCAGAGCTTCATGGTTTGGCAAAAAAAAGCTCGTACCAGTCACTCAAAGCTTTTAGATCACATGATCTATCACAGATCAATATTTCCACCCCTACCGATAGCTGTTACACTAACGTGGTGACTGGGCTTGCATATAGCGACAACTCAACGAACTATACTAGTAAAACTCTTGTTCCCTGAAATCCTACCATATCTCGAAGGTTCAAGGTAGCCAGTATCTGAAGTGTTCGACTGTTGGTCTAAGCCATATACGGCAACGCAGACTTTCTGGTTGTCGTCTGCGTGATGGCAGAAACTAGTGGTTGAAGATTGTAGGTGATATGTCTGAGAATCGATGTCACTGGTGCACGTGTATCCACAGAATATCTCCATCTGAAACGCGATAATGAATTTAGCACTTTCTCATTCCTCCTTCTTCTCTTTTACTACTTTCAACTATTTTTAACTGCTTTTTCTTAATCTTCGTGCTTTCCTGCTTGATGTGCCAATATGAAATGTGAACTCTCATGCAGTAACACTTGGTCCTATGTTCTTGATGACGATGATGATTTCCACCTCGAATATCTAATAAATTAAACCTATCTCAGTTGAATTTAGTTGAAAATTTCACACAAAGATCTCGATGTAATCAAAACTTGACTGTCAAAATAAACAAATTTTTTTTACAGGTTTTGAGCACTTCGTCTTTTTGAAGATGCTCTTTACTGACCTACAGAATTAAATTGATCAACAGCGTTCGATGCAGCAAAGATAATGAAGATTCGGTCACAGAAAAAATATGAAAATCCTTACACATAGTTCATATGCCAAAAAAGTGGACTAATTTAGCCATGCAAAGAACATCACAACTAATATTCACTGATAAATGTATGCCTATCCTAAGTTAGTATTCTAATTAACAATGCCTTACCGCTCACAGCATTCTGCGTTAGGGTTCTGATATCTATGAAAATACTAATATGAATGCATGTCTATCTGACTGACAAGTTTTAAGCAAAAACTAAAAGGATAGTCTCTAAGTAATATGCGTTGATGAAACATCAGAGAAGTATAAACTTGCAAAAGTAACATTATAACTTATACTCACCACACAACTAGTGGCTTTCATAACCCAGTGATATATTAGAATACCCCCTGAAGTCAAAAGAGTTGGAAACACCATCATTCACGAGGATCCAGATATATGTGGTTGATGAGTTTTAAATAAGGCGAAACCCTCATCCTAGATTATATTGCTAACGACAGCTAAATGATATAGATGCAAAATTAGTTTTATGGCCTGGCTCAACTTAATCTAATATTTATTCAGTTGACTGTAACATTTCAGGTTGTTCACAATTTAAAGTGAAGAAAAGACAAAAGAAAAGAGATTATCGCATATTTTGTTCGACTGCGAAAAAGAAATCTGAAATCTATCTATAAAAGTTTAATGTACAACTCACCTTAACCATGTTTGAAACTGTTCCCATGTCCACATATTTTCATCTGGTAATTTACCTGACCTAGCCCCATTTTTATATTTATGTTGGATACAATTATTGCAAAGATGTATTGCTCTAGACACAAAAGAAAAAAAAGGTAACAAAAATAAGTATTTGATTATGTCATGGTGTATTAAAGCAATTTTTTTACGCTCCAGTTTCAAAGTTGTGCGGAACGAATTAGAGATTTGCTAATTAGTAATAATAATAATAATAACGATCAGCATGATGTTTTGTAACAACAATATGTGTATGTATATACTACTCTAGAACATTTCGAACAGTGTTTTTACAAATTTAAATGTAAAAAACAGTAACAACGAGAACATTTCACATTTTTAAGTGAATTATTGAAATGAGATTGTTAACTGTTACGAAGTTGATATGTGAGTTCTGTTCCAACACGCTTTTCCTCATATAACATGCGTCCTAGGTAAGGTCCAGTCGAATTCTTATACTTAGCTATACCGGCGTACAGTCACATGTAATTTCTTTTTGTCCTCAATATAAGTGTAAAACTTCGGCACTATGGTCGACTGTAATTCCATCTTAGTCTGTTTATCAGAAATGTCATACACTGAAGAACGGTATTATTTACTCGATAACATTTCGGATGCAATTTATTGTCCATATTCATATCATGTAACTCTACAACTTCGAGACAGTCTTCATACATTCCTAGTTTTCTCTCCTTCTTTGTGATGACAAGGGTAAGAGAATTGTTCATATATCTGGGACAGGTGCAGAATCATTTCAACTGCATATGTTTGGTGTTGATTCGATGAACAAATATTCGGTTCGACAAAACAATAAGAAGACGTAAATTGTCTGAACCGTGTAATGTATTTGCGCAACACATTTCGAACTATCTGATCACACACGTAGTTGTCATAGTTATTTATATAAAAACTCATGAAGAAAAGGGGGTGAGAAAATAAAAAGGGGTCAGGTAGGAAGGCTGACTTAAAGGCCGAATAACAATGAAAATCAATAGAGCGAAAAAATAAGAGTACATCGAACTTGGTTTTCAATAGTTGAATTTACCAAGGAAGATTTAATGTGGCAACAAATTGTTTATGAACACATAAAGGTGGTTTCAACTTACTAATAGCTAAGGCTTCAACAAATTTCGGGATCCCTCCCCAACATGTTTTGTAAATAGGTGTAAAGGAAGCAGCCACATCAATCTTGTGACCTGTCTCAACGATATGTTTGGCAATCGAAGAACTTGGACGTCTGCTACCAACAAAGGGAACTAATTGTTTTAAAAATATTCGGTTATCAATCTCTCCATCCATCCAACCAAGTTAGTTTTCAACACTGTCTCCCTATCCCACCCTACTGTGTGATTGTGTGTCATCGCATGCAGAGCTATAGCCGAGTTTTTCTCTAGATTTCTCTTCTTATTAGCATCTACTAATCTTGATTTAACCAAGTTTTTGCGCTATTTTATTTTAATCCACCCTGGTCGACTACTTCGACCTATAGATTCGACCTCGTAATCATTGCAAGGGATTCGGTAAACCAGACTATTTTGCTTAATTGCATCCATAGGATCTTTTAACCCACAAAGCTTGTCTGTAAGGGGGTTTGTTGGTTTAGATGTCACCTTCATCCCTGGTTTATTGAGAATTCTTCGTAATGCCTCTAAGGTGCCTTCCTTGAATGGTAACATAGCACAGGCTTTGAATTCCCTCTCAACCCTGTCACCATTATTACCACTAGAAGTGGGATTATTATTGATGACATCTGTATTACTACTACTACCTCTGCTTATATTTTTCTTTCGATTTCTTATGAATTTATGCATACATTTGGTGGGTAATTATTGAGATGTAGGGTATTCTTCATGTGCCCAATATCTTATTGAGATTTCACGATCTACTAGTAGGCTTTTTCGCTCTATCAGCTACGCATTTAACTAGGCCTACTTTAACTGAAATCGGGTGGGAGGAATCGAAGTCTAAGTAGCGATTCCAATGGGTAGGTTTCCTATAGACACTAGTCTCTAGACTTTCTTCTTGTGTTCGTTTAATCTTGCAATCCAACACTGCTAGCTCACCTTCTTCACTTTCTAAGTCACAGGTAAGTTGCTCCTCCCTGACAAGATATAACGAGAGAGTTGTGAATGAACTGGATGCTCAGTGTCAGTTAAAATTTATGTAGCCAGTCGCCTGCTAGAATTTAAATGTCTATCAACTACAGTGTTAATCAGCTGAACCAGAGGCACACTACTCATACTACTGACGACTTTCAAAGTCCTACACAATATAACATAGTCCTCTTTTAGAAAACCACGAAACATCAGCAGAGAACAATACAGAAGAATAGGTAAAATCCAGGAATTAATAAATCGTAAAACTAGACGTTGAGTTATATCGCAGAGTCATAGTTTCCATTTGTAATATGTTAAACAAAACAACTTTTATAAGTCAGCAAGATAAGAGACGACCAACAAAGGTCAGAAGTAAAACTCAACCAAACATAGTTAACACTCGATTTACCTTCTGCAGAAATACCGTCAATACAACAGGCGTCATGAGACTCAAGCAGTTCACACAGTTCTTGTCTACACTTGAGGCTAAAATTAACAGTCTGACATTTGGGAGGGTTTAATTTGAGACCATCTGAAAGAGAGAATTGGTCAATTACAGACAAGAACCCATTTAATTTACAGAGGTAACTGGAATAGACACCGTCAGGTCATCAGCGTGCTTCATAAAATTAGTTTCAACAGAATCAGGTAAATCATGCGAAAAGAATCAGAACAGAAAAGGAGAAAGTACAGCATCTTGAGGTACACCAGCCTCAGTCAGCAATTAAACGAAGCGCTTCCCATTATAAACAGCATAGTGTTTCCTTTCAGAATACTCGAAACACCAACAGGACCTAAGCTTTGAGAAGGATTCAGGAATTTAAGAAATTCAAATACGTCATTTGTATTAAAGCCAGAAAAGCAGCTATCCATATGAGTATGGACACTAGGAAGGATGAAAACAGCCTGCCAACGTATGAATGACTTGCTCGACGCTCAGACATCTTAACCAGCTTCTTTTTTATCTGTTTTGTCAGTAAGCTCTTTAAACAATTTCCGTATATTGGAAGAGTTCTTGTACGACAGAAACTTCTGGTTGTATATAGTATTCAGACGTTGTATTTCAGACTTAATTAGACAGTTAAGTATTTTAACGCTCGTCTAATACAACCTTTTCTCTTCTCTTGAGAAATCACAAATCTAATAAGAAAGTTATACTCAATTCAACTTAAATTTTGACAAGAGTCTCATATTGAAGTAAGTTAGTTATTGCCAAGTGACAAGAAGCACTACTTGACCTTGGTTTAGTATGTACTGGCACTCGTCAGGAAGTCATGCATGTAACCTGAAGGGAATTGATATCAACTGTGTAGATCCAAACTCAGTTCACTCATTACTTTAGCCAGACATGTTATTCATGAGCTGTTCCAAACCAACAGCCAGCATAAATTCAAACATACTGAGAATTTGACCGTTAGAATTAACCTTGGAACAGAATGATACGTATTAACCTCAAGTAATCAATCTAGATTACATAACATGTTGGAAAAAATAATTTAATTGAAAACACTATCTCAAAACATAATATCCTCTGTAGGTGAATGAAAAGAATTGTTCCTTTATATTCCTTACTATTGTGAATATTATTTCCATTACTGATTGATATCTGTGAAATAATAAGTGCGAATTAATACTGGGAAGCTGCTCTGTCTTGTCGTCTCGAACTCCCCAACAGTATAGTCACATATATTGGTGTTGAGCCTAGTCCCTTCAAACTCAGAAAGGAATAAATTGGCTCTTAAACCCTCTCGTATGCTTTTGACAGCCAACATTTTAAATATTACGCAACATATAGCTCATTTTTCTCACATAATAAATCCTTAAACGATGAATCAGTGATCAACTGAAAACCATTGTAGTGTATTTTATGGTTCACGGTAGAATCTAGGAGGCATGTTTCGTTTTACTCAGTTTCTATCAGCTGGATGTCTAGTATGGGACAAAACACATGTCCAGTGCCCTCAGGTTTTCTATGTTTTTTATGTCAGTCCATGATGAATACAAACTTAAAACCGATAAGTCCTCAAAAACCTCCAAATTAAATTAAGTTTAATGCTAATGAAGAATACTAGCTAGTAGTGAAGTCTAGGACGAGCGTTCATTCTTATTTTTGTGAGAAATATCGCTCTTTGGATGGTAGTTACAACCGTCTGAAGAGTTCTAAATAGGTCATGATGTGCAGCCTGGAGTCTAGTGTTAGCCACCAGCTATCTTTGGTTTACCTCATATACTTTCTAACCACTCTCTATTTAACAATGCTTACTTGAGTTTATACAATTATTTGTATGTATGTTTAATCACAATAAAATCAAAGCCATTGTGGAGAGATACAAAAATACTCATTTTAACATATATTTTGGAAAATTTAAATCTCAGATAAGAACGTTTATATAACCGTGGTTTAGTTTTCTGGACAGCGTTCCTTTTGTTCTAGAAGTAGTTTACTTGAAAAGTGTCAATCGAAATTATACCGTAACTACCGTGAATATTAGTCAGAAATTTTAGCGAGTATATGTCATGACGCATACAAAATCAGTTGTATGTGAACATTGTTCAAAAGAGCTAAGATATACTGTAGTACATCAGCTATGCGAAAAAGAAAAGGAAACTATTTGATGACTGTTTTCCAGGAGAATGGCTATACACGCGACTTCGTCGAAAGATGTTAACATAATTCGTCATCAACCAAGAAGTCAACCTCAAAAACCAACCTACCCCATATGACGAACGTCTATAAGGTCATGACCAAAATATTGAAGCTGTTTAGAATCTCTATAGGTCACAAACCCACAAAATCTCTTCACTCTCTGTTATGCAGGTCAAAAGATGCAATAACAAAGGCAGATAAACTAAACTGTAGGAACCACGAAAAACACTACATTGGACAGACTGGTCACCCTCTTCGTATCGATCTAAATGAACATCAGTTAGCAGTGAAACGTCATGACATATCTTAGCTCATAACAATGCATACGCACAACTGTGAACATGAATATGACTGGGAAAATGTGAAAATTCTGGATAGAGGAAATATGAAGAATGCCAGCGAATTTTTAGAAGTCAGTCAGCAACCAACAGATATATCGCCATTACCCAATCTGTCAACCAATAAGAACCAACAAGTAGGTCAAAGTTCAGGTCATCAGGACAATGTCAAGTGATTCACAATGGAAAGCTCAGTGATGCCTTTGAAGTGAAGTGAAGACAGAAGTAAGACAAGATTGCTGCCTACTATCACCAATGATCCTCATTGCGGTCGACTGAACTGGCCTGAACCATTACTGACACAGCGAACCTGTGATGGTCACTTTAATGTGTGTTTATGAGTTCAAGTGCTTCTGTGGATGTAGTTACATAGCGCATACTCATTCTCTTATGTTATTAAGTTATTTATGCCCTTGTTTATTCCCCTATCAACAGCACTCTGTAGGCAGTTTGAGATGAGGAACTTCACTGGTCTACGCCTGGTCGTTTAGGTCAAAAGTATATATATATATATATATATATAAGCCATGCCATAGGATTAAGCCCAAACTAGGTCTTGATACCATAACTCAGTGACTCACTGAAATACGACTTAGTGCTACGTCTTCTCAACATAGATCACATGAATATAGGTTTTGCCAGTAATTGATGACAAAATGGAGTAACCATTAAGCACAGACATATGAGATTAATGAATTTCCCCTTGTCACTCTCTTACTATAGGCGAATTTATGAGTGGCCTTGAAGGCCACCTTAAGAGCTGCTGAAACAAACAATCAGTTTTTAGTATTTCGGCTAGAAAGGTAACTTTTACGTAAAGTAGAGAGAAGTAATTGATTATCTCAGCAGTTGCTAGGGTAGCCTTTGAAGTAACTCTCAAATTTATACATTAGTTCTAGATGAGCGTGACAATCTGTCAATAAAGACAGTAAAACATGTATACTATGTCGATCAACATCAAATAATTATATATTGCTAGATACTAGAGACAATTAACATAAAGTCACCAACTTTTAGTATCACCTTCAATGACAATTCACAAATGGTTTACATTCACACTCTAAAAGAAACAAATGCCATCTATGAGATAATAATCTCCATGTTCAACATTACACTGTCATAACTTATTGAAGCTATGCAAGCAGCGAATCGGCACTATGAACTAGATTCTGCGTATAATCATTGCGCTTTGTAATAAATAGGCTAGACTGAGTTTTTGAGTAACTTAACACCTGACTAACACTGGTGCTGAAAATCAATAAACACTATACTAAGCATATTATTTTTCAATAATCAAAGGATATGCAAAGTTTAGGACATAAAATGATTATGTAGTCTACTACAAACATGAACTGAAAAGACGTAGAGAAACAAGCTGTCACACGATGTTGTAAACAAGTGTAACAGTTCAACTGATCACACTTTATACTAGTACAAGAATTGAGACATTAAAACAAATTAGAAAGAATATATTAGATGTGAAACGTTTAAAACCTTGAAACGGTTATTAATTGTTTTCATTCTAATATCTCGAGGATCCAGTCCATGATATTCTAAATCATACAATGTGTCAGTTAAAACCGGAAGGAATTATTTAAGAACAGAAAGGTGCTGTAAGCCAAAAGAATTTACTGAAGGAGATAAATTACTTCTAGAGGAAAAATCCTTTAAATTATCGTAGACTGATAGTAATTTATGTTTTGGGAAGATGAAAGTATAGTTATATGGTATAAACAAATCTCGTAGGAAAATAAACCCGTATAAATATTAAGTTATTATATTCTTTGATAAATATCCGCTATTTTTATTACTACTGGCGGGATAAGTTCATTTTGTATTTCTCCATATAAGAATATGTAGTTGTATTTCTGTTGATGTACTTATCACTCTCCGTCTTTTTACTGGATTGAATTGTTCGACCCCTATTAATATATGGACATACAGGCCCCAAAGGTTGAACAATTCAACTCAGGAAAACAACGGAGAATGATAAGTACATCAACAACTAATACCCGTTGTACAAGAGGTGGCTATCGTTCCTCAGTGGCCCAATGAATAATGCTATGGCGTTTGAAGCGATGGATACGAGGTTTGAGTCTCAGTGGGGTCAGCATCACTCCGAACTGAGGTGTAGGCACGTTTAGCTGATGAATTCGAAACAGGACGAGACACGCATCCTAGAATCCGCTGCTAATCACAACCAAGTAAATTACTGTATTTATTTTATTTAAAATAAGTGAATTTCCCGCCTTACTTTGGCAGAACTGAAAGATTGTAGTTATTGTTAGAGTTTAAGAAGCAAACTACGCCTAAAATACTGTTTCCTAACGTATTTTAAGAAATAATACATATAAATATGTTTTCCCGCTACACAAGTTCAGGAGTTACACAATCAACTTATGCACATCGACTTTACACGATATCAAATATGTATACGCTGAAGTGTATCACATATTAGTTTTGAAGATTTGATATGTTTCAATATTTTTTGGTGTTTGAATGTACAAACACTAACAGACAGCTTAACTGAACTGACTGTTGAGTAAGCTGTAGTATGTGATTCACTGCCTTCATAAAAAGTTTTGCATCGAATCACTATTTTTAGTATAATGATTTTACCTGTCGGTAAAAATTACAATCGATGAAACGGAATTTGAAGGCGAACAGAATATGCTATTTAAAGGTAATATTCATCATGGACTGACATCAGTTGAGGAACCATTGAAAATCCGGGAGAACTGAACAGCTGTTTTGTTATAACATGGAACTACTCATCAGTACACACCCACGACCCGGTTAGGGATCGAACTGAGAACCTTCAGGTCTCATGGCGAATGCGTTAACCATTCGACCACTGGGTCGGTTTTCAGTGGTTTACAGTTTCCAACTTCTGTGAATTCAAGATGTAACGCTACTATCACCCAAAGTCTTCAGTTAGCACCCGCTAAATTAAAAAATCCGCATTCACTTCGAAAATACATTACTGTAAAGTGCTCATTAGTAACATGTTCCTAGATGGATATCACGAAATTCTGATGAAAAGCCATGACTTGTGGGGTCAACCAGTCGGAAGTGAAGCTGATACCAAGTGAAGACCTTGGGTGATAGGCGCACTATATCGTGGATTGATAAAAGTTGGGAACTGTGAACTACTGAAAACCGACCCAGTGGTTGAATGGTTAACGCATTCGCCATGAGACCTAAATTTTCTGAGTTCGATCCCTAACCGGGTAGTGGGTGTGTACTGGTGAGTAGTTCCATGTTATAACAAAACAGCTGTTCAGTTCTCCCAGATTTTCAGTGGTTCCCCAACTGATATCAGTCCATGATGAATACTACCTCTAAATGGTAAAATCCTCATTCATCTTAAGAATATACTATTGACTGACATGACCAGTCATATTGATCAGAAGCGTTCAAAATCTTGACGTTTCTATAGGAAACCATGTTGAGTTCTTGCATAATAAACTGTATACTTTGTAAACCTCTTATTTGATTCTAGGAATTAGAATCCTTTACCAGTTGGTTATGAATTTAAAGTCTAGTTCATTCAAAATAAATTCCTACATGAAATATATTCCGGTAAGAAATCATTATTATCATTTAGATTCGATGTTACTTCAGTTATTGAAGAAAATCATCTTTTCTATTAATAGTTTCCTTGTTCATAACTAAATAACGAATTCAAGCATATAAAAGGATCATTCAATAACTAGGCACTTAATTAGTAGTCTTTGAGTAAATAGGCAATTATTTCTTACTCTTAAACACTGACATTTAGGATTTTCTCAGCCTATGAGAGACGATCAATAGGAAAATGATATTTAGAACATCATACCTATTATCTTCACTTTTAGACGTTGGACTATACAGTATAATGTCAACAAGTCAGATGGCCTTACGGTATTGTTGTATTGACTATGATATAAACTAAGAACAAGTTGGTGGACAACAATAAGTTATCTCTCTTTTTTTACTTAAAATCCATTTCTTAAGCAAATAACTTTAATTCTCAACGTAATTCTAGTTTTCATAATAGGTTTTCAGTTCAATATCAAAAAAGTAACGAAATTTTTTAATATTTATGAATTTTATAAAGTTTATTTATAAAATTCAATTAAACTTACTCACTGAAATTATCAAGAGTGAATTCTTGTGAAGAAAATCTTAAATAACAATCTTGATACCACCATACAGTTAATGGTGCCCAATCAGTTATAAGAAACCATTGTCTAATATCAAATTTTGTTTTATATATTAATAATGGTCTTTCAATATACTTCTGTACAACATAGCGTGCTTCAGTAAGGTATACAGTACCTTGTACAATTTTAAAATATCATCTAACCGATCCAGACAAACAATACCTGAAGAAAATAGAAGGATTATTGAGAAACAATTTAAATAACAATTATAAAAATAGTAATGATGGGTAGTGGATAGCAGTGGAATCCAGGAGGCGCATTTCGTTCTATTTGGGACTCGTCAGCTAGGTGTACCTGTCTCCCAGTGAGTGATGTTGTTCCCACTGGATTCGGACTCGGGGGCGATCGCTGCAGACATGAAAGCGTTATCCGCTGCACCACGGAGCTACAGTAGACACTTCTTGTGTGACGGTGGGAATAATCAATGACAGTGTAATACAAGCAGTAACACTAATCACAAAAATAATTAAAACCGGTTTTTATAACATCGACTACATTCTCCAGAGGGTTAAGAGATGAAATAAGAAAAAGGTTCATATGATCCTTACATTCCAATATCTCAATGCCTGAGTATTCATCATGCAGTAATATATAAGGGGATAAGCACATAAATTTGTACTAGTCTTGTGTTCGCTTACATGAATAGTATTATCACAAACTTTCCATAAGCATACTAGACAAAGTAAGTGATGTCATCATCATCATCATCAAAACCAAAATAGGACCAGGCATTATTGCGTAACGGTCCAAGTCGCCACAGCTCTTATCAGTACATCAAGTAAAAAGCAGTGATGTGGAAGATGAAGGAAAAAAATTCAGTCAAAAGAGGTATAAAGTACTCAAAAGGAGAAAGTAAGAATGAGAAAATGGTGAAATTCGGTATAGCGTTAAGATGGGATAATGTGTGTATACATATGTGCCACTGACTTCGACTCTGAGACGTATCACCTAGCGTCTCCAACCACTGGCTTCTCTTGTCCCACGAATCCCAACTGGCTAGTCTGCATCGCCCCACATGGCTCAAACCAACAGTCAAAGACTTCATACATTGGGTACCATGTTTTAGTCTGGCCACCTTGGGTCTTTTTCCAGCCTGAGCCTAATTTGGCCAACATTGCGTGACGAGGCGGACGGTGACTAGGTATACGTAACACATGTCCCAACCATCTTAGTCGATTAGGGTTCACAACCCTGTCAACTGACTTACCTTTTCTCCCTTAAGCTCTACGCCTGACTGCTATGCGACTCACATGGTGACACCACGCAATGTAAAAAAAAATATATTTTGGGTACGATTTTTGTGAATGAATTGAGAAAACTAAGAGTATGAATAGAAAAGTTGTAGATTGAGAAAAGTTTGATAAACTCATTATGCTGAGAAACCTGATCATATACTATAGAGCAGTTAGTAAGTAGATTACAATAGAGTTGTAGATCAAAGTAGTATCAGTAGTGGTGGTGATTAAGTGATCAGACAATAACTACGTAAAAAGCGATCATTTTTAAAGTTTTTTCCCTGAAGTGTAATCTATTGTTACACAAAATTTCTAGTAGTACGATCATGAAATCAACTAGTAAAACACCGTCAAGACCTTATAAATAGGTTTAAAATTCAAAATTGATGATTGACTGCTATAAAAAAAGGGTTTAATTTAACCCTTGGAAACATTGAGTAGCAAAAGTAGACCAACAGGGATTGACTTCAGAGAATAGAATGGTATCTTTGTTACCTAAATAAAATCACTGGATCCTATGAGATAAATCATTGCATTATGTTGAATGTTTAAATAAAAGTTATTTTGCATGTGACTATTACTAAGAATACCATCGAACAACAGTTGCCTTGTCAGAAAAAGTCTTGTAGAAGTGACCACTGGTTGTCTTCATGATAATGGTTTGTGTTCTAACACCCCCCACTCGTATTTTATAACAGAGCAATAAAATATTCTTATTATTTACGTTAATTACATAAGCAGTTTACCTATCTACTCTTAAGTGCACCGATGAAGGTCTGTTGATCAAGCATCTAGCGAAGTAATATGATACTGTAGTACACTGTAATTTGGTGTTGGATAGTTGAGAGCCTTTTAATGTGTTCAATGGTTCACTAATTTTAAGCTGAGTTACAGAAAGCGTAAACGCCATGGAAGGTAAAATGTACATGAAAGTCATCGTAGAACCATCCTAGGTAAACAAGAGGTATCTTACACAATCTTCAGAGATCTTCTTTAAAAACTAGACGTAGAATAAATTGCATCCAGAATATAATTATACCAGTAAACACTTAGCAGTTTTCTAATATTTGCTCTCCTTTACCAGAATGATCAGGAAAGTATGAAGTATTAGAATTTTACGCAAACATAGGATGTTGTTCTTTTGATTCATTTGCTCTATGGATAACGCTTTGCTGTTTGAAGTGAATCTAAATGGGAACATCATCCTACAAAAATGATGATATTTTTAGTTGACTAGTCACAAATGCGTCAAAATGTACATCTTTGATTTCATTCCTAGCTGTCACTGACTAAACAACACATATCCAGTTATTGGGAAGACCATTATGAGGTTCTGATCGGCAGATGAAATTTGTGGATAAAGATGTTTTACTAAGCTAAATAAATCGCTAGTTTATTGTTTCTTTCCTCGATTGTATAAGTGTTGGTCGTGCTATCGCATATGATAGAGACATCAGTTTGTGTTCATAAAATATCATGATAGTTTATATCTGATCTCATTGATGAATTGAACCACAGCGAAAGTCAAGTTTGTAGCAATAGTCAGTTAGAAACCGAAATATCATTTGCAGTATTTCCTGTTCCACGTTTTCTGTATCATTCTTAGAGTTGATTAATTGATAAACTAACACAAGGTGATTTAAACTGAATCCTAAGTGGTTTTACAAAACCTTGATGTAAAGGTTTTCTATGCAGAGAATGAATGACACTTTATGAAAGTGTCCAGCAAATAATGAGTGAAATTCTTTAAAAACGATTCACAGAATTGGAGTCTATAAACTGACAAGGCTGAATGGTAGAAATCATCCAGCTGTATCATATTACAGTAGTGTGTACGTGATGATTGAAACTTTTTCTGGATGAGATGACGCCTAACTAGATCTTGAGAACAACAAACTCGAGAAAATTTGGCAGGCTTTAAACTTGGATGAGGATGCATCCTTTGAGGTGACTTGGATATATGCTGTGTACGGCAAGCCCCCACCTCCCTCGAGGTGCAATGCTGTGGAAAGTTGAATTCGATTAGTAGAGGGTTCAGGGTGGGCATATCTCAACACGTGACACCAATACATGAAGCCTCTAACTGTTAGTCTCAGACGTGTAGACTGCCTGACTAGGGTCACCGAGACCAAAGAAATCAGTGGACGAAGACACTTGATGACATGGCTGAAAATCGGTGACAGCGGCACAGATGTATTCTAAAGGTCTAGTGTCTGTTGGACCAAATATTTAAATACCTGGTAATCCACTTAATATCATATAAGCTAAATGTAATGTGGTTATCATCAATTGAACCTAATGACCTGAACCTGACCAATACTATTCTCCATAGATTGATATAAAAAATACCTCTCAACTTGCAATAGAAAACTCCTTATAAATTAATTGGTAACAGATTATAATAACCAGGATTCCTATTATCAATAAATCACTGAGAAAAAACTCACCACGTCCTCTTGACTTAGCACCAGGTTTTACAATCCACACATTACGCACTCCATCCATATCAAACTGCGGACAGCATTTTTTCAGTAATTTACAAAGGAGTTGGCAATGAGATGAAAGATGTTGAGCATGTGTGAGTAGATGAGGTGTTCTAAAATATTATAGAACAGATTTAAGCATTTTTATAGACATATCGTTATAAAAATTATTTATAGTCAACAATAGTTGTTTAGTACAAAACTCTTCTGATAAATCAGATAACTGGAACAAAAACTTGTTGCGAAATCGATTCATATTCATCATTATTTATTGAAAACTGCATATCCACCTTTTGTACCACTAAACGGTCAGTCAGTCAGCCAACCTTAGAGAATTTTCTGAACACAAATGGTATTTAATGAAAATCTGAACTTGGTCAGAAAGTAATTTCATAAAGGAATGATAAATTCAAGCTAGTGATGATTGAATTACCAACTCAATGGTCTACCAGCTAAGCTACTACAAAGAATAGTTCTAAATCATTTGTTGTGGTGTATATCAAGGAGACAAAAATGCTTACATTCATTCAACTATCGTCTTTCTTCATTCAGAAAGTAAGTATGATACTTACAAACCAAACAGATATATAAATATTCAAGAAATATAGAGGCATCCATATATATATATATATATATATATATATATATATATATATATATATATATATATATTATTTTAATATATATATAAGATTTCTTAAGATTTCTTTCAGTTTCTTTTATGGCAGGGATTTCACTGATCAGTATCCATTCTGCTAATGTTAAGATTGGTCTCCTCCTACTATCTGGTGCACGTTTTGCTTTCTTATGTGTTAATGTGATTCCTACAGTCACTGAAAAATATACATATACTTATGTACTAGAAGAGTAAACTGGATTTGAACAACTTTGTCTAAGTGACTACATTATTCTAGGGTTGGTGAAAAGGTTGAATAGGGAAGTGATGAATAGTTCACTGTTGGGTAATTAATGTTCATACACTACTTAGTAGATGTACCAAAACACTAGGTATACGAAGTACAACTGAATATACACGCCTATTATTTACTGATACTTCTAATTTTCTATCATAATTCTGGACTGAATTAATCCACCTAAGCTGGCATATAAGCTCCTATACAAACGCCTCGATATTGCCTCATTATTGGTTATGGTAATTAGCAGTGGAAACCAGGATATGTGTTTCGTCCTGTTTGGAGCTCGTCAGCTGGATGTGCTACCACCCCAGTGTGTCATGTTGTTTCCACTGAGACTCAAACCTCGCACCCATCGCTTAAGACATCATAGCTTTATGCACTGGGAAAATTCAGCCGACGAGTTTCAGACAAGACGAAATGTACGCCTTGGATTCCACTGCGAGCCATCAAGATGAATACAACATCATGAATATCCGCCGCTATAGAGGCATCCGTATAGGAACCCGTCTGCTAATAGAGGGCCAAGCAATTCGACCCTGTGTAGCAGCAGAAAATTATGTGTATCAAACAATAACAAGTGAAACCTATTGCACAAGGGGCGGTTATCTCGCCCCAGTGGCCCAATGAATAGCGCATTGGGTTTTGAAGCGATGGATGCTGGGTTCGTATATCAGTGGGAACAATATCAGTCACTGGGCTGCAGGTACATCCAGCTGACGAGTCCCAAACTACATGCAACACACGTCCTCAATTCCACTACTAGCCAAGATCAAGCAAATTTATACCCTTCTAGCCATTTTAAATAAATTTCTGCTGTTGCCTTGTGTTTAACAGGAATATGATATTCGCGATTCACAGACTTCAAAATGATTTTATATGGTTAGATTATGCAGATGACAAAAAAACTACATTATCAAAGATAAAAATACCAGAAGTACATTTGGTTCACTTTATAAAAGACAACAATTATGAAATTACTTCACTAAGTAGTAATACCAAGATAAAAATCCATCCCATGGATGTTCAGTAGCCAGGAATTGCTGTAAAATAAATGTAAACAAGTGAATTCATCAGTCAACTTTAGTTGTAGTGCAGTTAATTACAACCATTCAAGTTTTATTATAGTAGGAAAATTAGTTTCTTCATTAGCCCAAATTTTAGCAACCCTGTGTCAGTGAGGTGTCATCAGTAAAACTAGACATGCAATTATTGACTTCAAATTAAAATCCCTCGATAATATATATGGGTGAGATTTTATTGAAACTCTGTCAATCTAGTGAAGTTTCTTTTTTATTTATTGAACATATAATTGATTTCATTGTTACTGAATTTTGATTGGAGATGAAAGTAGGTTATTTGGATGAAGGCAATCGGCAGAAAGACCTGAACCCAGGTTTTGTGCTTGTTGGCACTCGTCAGAAAGGCGTATCTACAAACTCGACGGGACCTATATCCCGTCTGAGATTTGAACCCGCTTCATCCAGAGTCGTACTCGGCGACGTTACCACTGAGCTATTCCAGGAGCGGCGTGCCTAATGTAGGACTGGATTAGATACGTTGATTGGTCAGTGAAGGGTAACCAACTTGCCGACAAGTGCGGGCGAGCGCGAAATTTAGGTCTACGGCTTCCTGTCGATTGTCTCCATCCAACTAACATCTTTCAAAGTGCATCACAATCCTGGGATGCCTGGTCTGGTGACCACATTGCAAAATCATCGATAGAATTCGGTCAGCACTTAGGACTAGAGAACATGAAGTTGGTTACCAATGAAATTGTAGGTTGTAGCAAGATTCCAACCAACGGCCTCTGGGTTGCCAGCCTACCGGCCCAGTGCTCCACCAACTGAGCTACAAGACCGAGCCGCTGACTGACTGACTAACTGATAAAATCAGCGTAGAACCTCACACATATGTGTATCGGCTCAAATGGTCACACTTCACAATAGTACACCAGGAACAGGTGGACAGAGAAAGAGTGATACCAAGGTAGAAAAGGTTGTGTGGGAGAACAAACCATTTGAAGAGGAATGTTGTTGATTCCTTTCGTCCCAGGACCCCAACCAGGCAGTCTACACCGCCCACACGACTCAGACCAACATTAAGAGACTTCATCAACTAATGTCAGGTCTTGGTCTGGCCACCATAAACCCTCTCCCAACCTAATCCAACTTCCTCTAGCATGGCACATTGAGGTAGGTGGTAGCTTGGCATGTGCAGTGCACGTACAAGCCACTCCAGTTGACTAAGGTTCACAACCTTATCGACCGCTGACTTGCTTTCCTTGCCCATTACTCTTTGCCTGATTTCAACATTCCTGACATGATGATTCCACCAAATACCAGTAATGCTGAGGAGACATCTGTGATCAAAACCCTGTAATCCCTTCATGTCTTCTACTGTTAACAGCCATGTTTCACAAAAGTATAACAAAACAAAACGGACCACAATGCTGTATACTTTTGCTTTGATAAATAGTCGGATATCTTGCCAGTTGGCCCCAGAGATTATACAAGCTGGTAAATGACGAACGGGCCTTCTTTATCTGAGCTGAGACTTTGTCAGCAACCATACCGTCCGAGCTGATGCAACTTACCAAGTAAGTGAAGTGACCGAGATATTCCTCCACTTCACTCCCTATCACTAGATTGGGAGTAGTTACGGACCACTTATGGAGCATCATCTTACGCTTGACAGGTGCAAAATTCATACCGCTGACTAGACTTTGTTTCACTTTGATCATTATCGTTTCCACACTTGTTTTTGTTTCATGGAAATTAAGAAAATACGCTCATTTCCCACCCCTGTTTTAAAATTCAGGTAGATTTACTTTACGACAACTACTTGCTGGTGTGTCTTTTGTATCCCAGTAACTGTTATTATTTTAAAAGTCTGATCAATCAGTGGTGGATTTACAAACGTAATAATCGTTTCTCAAATAGTTTTTCATCCTAGACTGACAATAGTTGCAGAAGCACTGAAAAAACTTCGAGCAGAGTTCAACAGCATAAAATTATACAACATATTTTAATCTAGTGGATGAATGATAATATGATGGCAACGAAACTTGACGATTCTGAGTTCGACCTGTTATTATGTTGGGGATCGATAATGCTGAGAAGTCAAAAACACAGTTGTTTAGTACTCTGAAGTTATCCGTAGGTTTCCAAGTGATATCACTTTAGGATAGGAAATAATTTCGAAATCAGTCACCAAGAGCCATCAATTGAGCAGCCATCAGCAATATTTAAGATGTCTTCCACTTAATCGTTACTTATTATCGGCAATCTCGTAGATCCAAAGGCGAAAACTAACAAGTTGGTAGAAGAAACCAGGTGAGGCAAGGCGAGGCAGCGAAGACGTGACTTCCTTCAGGTGAACGTAGAGAAGACATAGGTGATGAAGATACTCAACCACCACCAACAACAACAAGCATCAATCACCATCAACAGGAGAAACCTAAAGGTAGTTTTCTCTTTCATCTACCTACCTACCTAGCTACCTACCTAGGCAGCATCGTTTCAACTACAGGCAGCGACGGTGACGGCTACCGCGGCACAGATGAGGACGTCAAAGCCAGCACTGGAAAGACAACAAGACAGGCCTTCCTGCATTAACCTGAAATCAGTGTGGACATCTACTGCACTATACTCAGCATAAAGCGTGAACAACATCCGGATTTTCAACACTACTAATGTCAGTCGAGTGAGTGCTTCTATGTGATGGTTGAGAGACTTGGTGAATAACAGAAAGCATTTCCAACAAACTACAGACACACATCATCAATAGCTGTCTCCTACGCTCGCTCACTCGATACTGAAGATGAAGACCAGATGGCGAGAGAGAATAAGCGAAGAGGAACTCTGGTTGACTGACTGACTGACTGACTGACTGGGTGGCTGTCTGTCTGTCTGTCTGTCTGACTGACTGGCTGACTGGCTGGCTGGCTGGCTGGCTGGCTGGCTGGCTGGCTGGCTGGCTGGCTGGCTGGCTGGCTGGCTGGCTGGCTGGCTGGCTGGCTGGCTGGCTGGCTGGCTGGCTGGCTGGCTGGCTGGCTGGCTGGCTGGCTGGCTGGCTGGCTGGCTGGCTGGCTGGCTGGCTGGCTGGCTGGCTGGCTGGCAACGAACCAACGAAGCAAGAACCCATCACCCAACAAATGTGCCAAAGCTGAAAGTGGAGATGAGATGTATTCGATTGAATTGTACATGCACTGAGAAGACCATTTGAGTAGATCATGCGCCTGGTACTCGAGTGGAATCCAAAGGGGAAACGAGGAGTTGGGTGTCCGAGGTGAGGGTGGGTGACATGGAGGAGATGGTGTGAGGAAGAAATGAAAGCTTGTGGGCATACGTGGAGCCGGGTTGAAGAAGGAAGACTGTAGAGAAGAGAGTGGAATGGCTACGTGCTACTGAAGCCCTATGTTCCGCTAGGTTCCGAAGGGACAAATAACAATAATTATTATCCGTAATAAATTCCAGATGGCTTCAGTTATTCAAATAAAAGTTTTGCATAACACTTATTAGTTTCAAAGTATTCATCATAAATCAAAACCAGAGTAAATGAGCCACTGAAAATAACAAATGTTTCTTTTTAGTTTTCAGCTCTTCCGAAATGAGCATGCACGGCTTAATATAAGATCCAACCCACGACTGTAAGATCTCAGAAAAGCACATTCCTATTCAATTGTTGAGTTGGAATCCATTGGTTTCTGCTAACTGATGACAGCACAACCACAGCTCTCCTCAAAAATCTAAATATTCAGTCTATAAAGAGTCCTATGCTTGTCAAATTATGAGTCGAAGAAAGCAAATCTTCGTCGACAATGAGAAACATCGGTTAGTAAGACACTACTAGCTAAAAAGATATCGGATATATATTTGTAATTTGTTTTGAAGCCTATTCAGGTTAATTTATTTGACTTTAGTTGAAATATATCACTACTGATGTATCAAACAGATCAAACTTGTTGATCTAAACATTCTGTCCTACAAAAGTTGAACTTCACCAGTGTGCTAACCTCCTGTTTCGATATGATGAAAAAATGTTATGAGTTATGTGAATTCCTTTGCTGATCAAACAGACAGTTGTGATAGTGTTCCGTCAAGTGGTTTTGCTCAAGAAATTCAAATACTGGTTCAAGTCTTTTTACTGAGTAAATATCAGGCAAAAGAATGATTGTTTAGGCAAAGTGATCCTTTTATGAAATATAATACTTATTTATATCCAAAAATCTGTAACAAAGTAAATATGAATAAGGGTCATTTTTAATATTACTAACACCATAAGAAAAGTAGTTCAACTTCATAGAAAGATGACACAGTACAGGTACTGATTATATTAATTTCTCACTGCTATCTGAAATCTCTTATCAAAATCTTCACAGAGAGTTTGTTTGTTTATAATGTTTACAGTGAAGTATTATTGTTTACTGGATACAAATAAACAACAAATTAAACTTTCATAGCTGAAATACACCACGTAGGTGACTGATCTAATATATCCGTTCAATATACACCTGTAAACCTGTGTTAACTTCCGAGGTGATCAGTACAGATAAAAGCCAATATGAGTACAATATACTCATGTAGACAAAAAAAATTAGCATTAGGTTATAATATACTTTAAAACAGATCTCGTTAAAGGATATTCCAAGCATTAAAGTAATTAGCCTACTTTTTTCGACTTATCAAGATCCTCATGATGCTTAGTTCTTAAGAACTCTTGACATTGGAAAATTGCAAAATCTACAATTTCATCAGGAATCTGAGTTATTTTTGATAAATCAGATGGTAATATATCTGAAGTAGAAAGATAAAGAATAGATCGAATATTTCATTGAAGTCATCTTGAAATGATTTACCATTAAATTAATATTTTCAAAAATATTCGCTCAGGGCTGTTTGTATCCGTTCTAGAGATTCATACACAGCTGGAAGTTCAATAAACATAGAAATCTAGTGAATTTCTATGGAATATCAATTATGAAAAAAGAATAAGCATTTCAGAGAAGAGTCTCCCATAGGCGATTTCATTTTCAAAGCTGTAAAATCGTAAGTTTATACATATTCTTAGTGTAAGGAATTGTCGAGCATGGCAACACAAATAGTTCTAATGAATGAGGTCGAAAATTCGATCAAATGAAACAACGCAGAAATAAAAAAATACCAGTTATTACTATTATTAACATTATGAATATTATTATTTGTCTATAGGGTTCCCAATGGAATATAGACTTACAGTAGCACCTAGCTATTCCACTCTCTTCTCTACAGTCTTCCTTCTTCAACCCGGCTCCACGTATGCCCACAAGCTTTCATTTCTTCCTCACACCATCTCCTCCATGTCACCCACCCTCACCTCGGACACCCAACTCCTCGTTTCCCCTCTGGATTCCACTCGAGTACCAGGCGCGTGATCTCCTCAAATGGTCTTCTCAGTGCATGTACAATTCAATCGAATACATCTCATCTCCACTTTCAGCTTTGGCACATTTGTTGGGTGATGGATTCTTGCTTCGTTGGTTCGTTGTCAGCCAGCCAGCCAGCCAGCCAGACAGCCAGCCAGCCAGCCACCCAGCCAGCCAGAGTTCCTCTTCGCTTATTCTCTCTCGCCATCTGGTCTTCATCTTCAGTATCGAGTGAGCGAGCGTAGGAGACAGCTATTGATGATGTGTGTCTGTAGTTTGTTGGAAATGCTTTCCGTTACTCACCAAGTCTCTCAACCATCACATAGAAGCACTCACTCGACTGACATTAGTAGTGTTGAAAATCCGGATGTTGTTCACGCTTTATGCTGAGTATAGTGCAGTAGATGTCCACACTGATTTCAGGTTAATGCAGGAAGGCCTGTCTTGTTGTCTTTCCAGTGCTGGCTTTGACGTCCTCATCTGTGCCGCGGTAGCCGTCACCGTCGCTGCCTGTAGTTGAAACGATGCTGCCTAGGTAGGTAGGAAGATAGGTAGGTGGGTAGCTAGGTAGGCAGATGAAAGAGACAACTTCCTTTAGGTTTCTCCTGTTGATGGTGATTGATGCTTGTTGTTGGTGGTGGTGGTTGAGTATCTTCATCACCTATGTCTTCTCTACGTTCACCTGAAGGAAGTCACGTCTTCGCTGCCTCGCCTTGCCTCACCTGGTTTCTTCTGCCAACTTGTTAGTTTTCGTCTGTACATCTTTGAGCTTGTGTGACATAAGATATTAGACGTAAATCATCATGGGCGAAATCCACATCTTATAGACTCTTTTCACCGGTCAAACAGCGTATGCCCCTCTCCTCACTCCTCACAGTTTGCTGCGTAATCCAGTAGAGTCGACCACAATTAAGAAGACCATCGGTGATAGTAGGCGGCAGCCTTGTCCTAACTGTCAACCTGTCTTCACTTCACTTCATAGGCATGACTGAGGTTTCCATTGTCAATCACTTGGCACGTAGCGTCATACAGCATATAGTTGCTGTTGAATGAGGTTGATAGAGGTTTGTAACACTAAATCCGTGGTGTTGAAGCAGTTCCCAAATTACCTCCCGGTCGACGCTGTCCAACAAACTACAGACACACATCATCAACAGCTGTCTCCTATGCTCGCTCACTCGATACTGAAGATGAAGACCAGATGGAGAGAAAGAATAAGCGAAGAGGAACTCTGGTTGACTGACTGACTGATTGACTGGCTGACTGACTGACTGATTGACTGACTGACTGACTGACTGACTGACTGACTGATTGATTGACTGACTGACTGACTGACTGACTGACTGACTGACTGACTGGCTGGCTGGCTGGCTGGCTAGCAACGAACCAACGAAGCAAGAACCCATCACCCAACAAATGTGCCGAAGCTGAAAGTGGAGTTAGATGTATTCGATTGAATTGTACATGCACTGAGAAGACCATTTGAGTAGATCATGCGCCTGGTACTCGAGTGGAATCCAGAGGGGAAACGAGGAGTTGGGTGTCCGAGGTGAGGGTGGGTGACATGGAAGAGATGGTGTGAGGAAGAAATGAAAGCTTGTGGACATACGTGGAGCCAGGTTAAAGAAGGAAGACTGTAGAGAAGAGAGTGGAATGGCTACGTGCTACTGAAGCCCTATGTTCGCTAGGTAGCCAAGGGACAAATTATGTAATAAGAATAAGACAGTCACCCACCAGTCCAGTGAATTATGAGGACATCTCCATTTTTTAGTTTATGGGCTGATTTTCTTTGGAATGATAAATGCTTAAATCCGGAACACATATTTTTGTTTGCCTAACGATACTACAAATGATCAAAGAAGCTATAAGAGGATTGTCATTGACTCAATTTCTGCTTTATATTCACGTTAAGATTTTCCATTGAAATTAGACATATTCACGAAATGCTACTTGTAATTGTGATAAAACTGATTTTTGAATAGAATAGATAAATTGATGACACTTCTGTGGAGAGAATCTACATGACAGTATTTACCAACCGGTTTCATTGGTAACCGAAAATGTTATATCACAATAATATATAACCTAGATATTCACTCAGTAATAAAATAAGTAATCAAGTATCATCAAGCAACAGATTAAAATAACACTGTTCTCAACACTGGATCAACATAAATGAAAGGAATACTTACTTATATTCCATGAAGTGTTGAATGATACTCTATTATCTTGAAATGGTAAACAATTATCTTGATTTGAATCAATCACCGGAAGATTTGATCTGAAGTCAACTACACGATATTTGTCATCATCAACATCATCATCGTTGTTGTCAACATCAGTAGTTTCGTCTGTTTCTTTATTACCACAAACAAGTTTGACACTGGACTGAAATACATTTGCCTCAGAATGATGGATATCAGGAATTAGACTAGCAATCATTTTCACAAGAGATATACATGCTGTCAGTTTAAAATCATCTTCATAATAAAAAGAAAAAAAGTTTTATGAAGTAGCACAACAACAGTAGTTGATTATTATTCATAAATTGTATTCATAATCTGTATTCAATTTTGTTTAATTTCAAAGTTGTATCAAACTTTATTTGAAACTTTCTTAAAATATTAATGTGAATTAAAACAACACTGTTCACTTGAAAGTTTGTAGAGCAAATATTCTAGGAGGCTATTGATTTGAATTCCATTACGGAAAAGATTTTGAAATCAACTTTGCGCATAATCTCCATATGATGATGCCGAATTCCACTCATAAAAAGTTAACTGATGATCAATCACTTATTACAAACTTATGGGTCTAATTGATACATGAACTGGGTTAATGAGACTCAGATAGATGTCTGTTACAACAACTCTACCGAGATAAGAAATAGTCATATCTATTTAGTTCACTTGTAAACAATATATAAAATTTCAATTCAGTTTGAAGGGTTTATGGGGACTTATTGATTTCAAGTTGGTATTCATCATGAACTGACATATGTTAAAGGAACATTGGAAACCTGGGAGCACTGGACTGCAGTTGTTCTGTCCTAGTTGGGACTCCTCAGAAGTACGCACACATGACCTTCAAATTCCGTGGCCAGCACGTTACCATTGAGCCACTGGGTCACTTCATGACATAGCGCAATGTCTACACACAGTGTCATCGTTGAGTATTTGTCTTCACATCCACCAGGTTTGCCCCATTGGTTACGACTTCTCATGATGAATACCAACTTGAAATCAATGAATCCTCACAATCCCCCAAATTGAACCAATCTAGTACTCAATGATGACTAGCTTCGAGAGGTGGTTCTCGAAGTTCCAATGAGAAGTCGTGACCAAACCTGGTGGATTTGAGGACAAAAACTCAGTAATGACATTGGGTGGTGGTCGCGCTATTTCGTGAAATAATACAAGTCAAAAATATGGACCAGTGGATTGCGACCCAGTGACTCCATGGTAACGTGCCGGCCACGGAACCTGAAGGTCATGGTTCGATCCCTAAGGGTATGGGATCATGTGTGTTCACTGCTAAGACGAAACAGCTGTCCAGTGCTCCCAAGTTTCCAATGTTTCTCTGGCTAATGTCAGTGAATGATGAATAGTAACTTGAAATATTAAGAGTGAAATAAAGTAAAACCCTTATTAATAGTTGTAGATTAGTTGACAGACGAAGTATTGCAGAAAATTTCACATAAATTGCAACTGTTCTAGTTGATACACTTGATGAAAATACAGACGGAAATCGGACATAGAAAGACAACCAAGTATTCATTATTTTGGTATTTGTATTTCCTAATGAATGTAAAATAAAATAGATTTGTTTTAGCTGACGCTTAACTGCTCAATGTTAATAACTTTATCAATGTTATAGTAAACCGGAATTTACAATATCCCCAAGCTTATATATGATATATATATATATATATATATATATATATATATATATATATATATATATATATATATATATATATATATATATATATATATATATATATATATATATATATGACAACTTGATAAGTGTTCTCCTGCATGAATGACTCTGCATTGTCAGGTTGCAAAATAAGGTTGACATCTATATGTAGCCGTGTGTTGTATGTGGAGAGTGTATGAATTACAGATTGAGATTTGTATGTACACATGTGTTGATAGTTCTTATCGGGTATGCATTGGTTATGTCAGTATGTAGGGATGGATTGAAGCCAGATTAAACTAAGTTTTATTCCTTTATTACTATTTAGACAATTTCGTTCCCACTTGATGTGAAGAGATTCTGCTATGAGATGCAACATATAATTTATAACAACCTTTCTGGATAATTTCGATATTGTCAAAGTCCACCCTCTGACTTGTAATTACAACATGTAAAGATATGGTTTTTTTTAGCTCTACTGATATTCTAGGCACCGAGTTGAAGTACTTCGGTGTCTGTTTTCCCTAATTTTGATTTCAAATGGAGATTTTTCCATCTATACTGCATCCCAATTTTAACATTTTATTTTATAAACACAATTAAATCGCCAATCCAGTGAGATTTTGTCTTTCACATCGACTATAATGTTTTCCAATATATTTCATATTCTGTAGAACATTATGACATGACTGTTAGTCGGTTGGAGGTAATCAGCAACCAACTAACATGTATCAATGTACACCGTGATGCTCAGCCCCTAGCTTAGTGACTAGATTGCAAAAATGGTCTATAGAATACAGTCAATACATATGACTAGGCAACATGAAATTGGTTGCTCCCCTGTGACCAATCAACACATGTCTTTTCTTTCTGCTTAACAAGACAATCAAAGAAGGATAGTTCACCATTATCTGTTTCTCTTACTGAGATCAAGTTGATACTGGGTGATCTAGAGTTCGGTTAATCTAAGAATACCTGGTATAAATCACATTTTAAAACCACAATAAGATAAGATAGTTGAATAAATAAAAAGAAAATTGATAAACAGAGAAAAACAAACAAATGAAGACCTTAATCTGGAATTATGAGGATTATAAAGAGTGAATGCATTCACATCCCTAACAAAACCTTGTGACTACTAGACATATAAAGTTGACTAATTGAACAACTGTATCGTTAACCTAACAAATTTTTGTTTTAATTCAATAAGAATCTAAAGTAAAAATTTAAATTCAATTTTCGTCGCCTTAAATACATATTTCTTCGTTAAGATTAACATAGATTAGTACTACGAATAAAATCGCTCAAAGACAACCCACAGAAAGGCTTTTGACCAATAGAATTTTCAAACTTTGAGTTCTTACTGCATAAAGAGAAGGATACAAAGTTGAGACAGTCTCCTCTACTATAATTAAGCTCAATCTATTCATTTTTTCTTACTTGTATATACTTTGATAATAGTAAGACAAGATGATCTGTGCATACTTCCACTTATCTTTGACACAGTCTAATCAAAATGCATAATACTCATGTTTTTGTTTGCTCATGTTATAAAGATCAATTCTATATTGCATATTGGATCTGCATTGTTACGGACTAACAAACTTGGATGAAACTGCTGTCAACTCCCCTTTGATTTTCACCGGTTATGTAACAAGCTAAAGAAAACAAAGGTCTATAAACTATGTCTTGATACATTATTATGCAGTAGGTGAACTGTAGGCGTTATTCATTTTGGAATTACGATCACATAGAACTGAAATATACAGTGCTTCTTTAATCAGTATAATTTCAGTAGACAAGTAATATCTAAGTTTGCATTAAGTAGTAACTGGTGAGTAACCAATGTAACTGCTTAGTACAAAGTGTTGAGCATTGACTGAAGTCTGTTAATCCAGTCTAAAATGTGATCACTAAGCTAAGTGAAAGAATATTGTAGTGCAGTGAATTTTAGAGGTTAATCGACTAGAGTCTCTGTTTTCTGTAGTTTTATAAGTTCTCCGACTCATCCGAAATCGCATCAAATGAAAAATATCGATGAGAAAGAAATGGAGTTAATTGTCATAAACTCCCTTCTAGGTTTCCAGGTGGTTACATGTCAAAATACACTTGTATCCCTAAGTCAATCTAGTGATAAAGATTATGTAAGATTAATGGTGAAGATGGGTGAAAATGAAACAGCTACATAGATTCATAAGCTAGTACTGTTATAATTTTGTAAATGAAGATTTCAAACAACGTATGAACAAAGCAGAAGTACAAGTAAAATATATTTGTTAAATCCCAATGAAGTAGAAAAATAAATTTCTGACATATCACGACCTTGTGGAAGTCGCCTTTCTGAAACCAAAATAGTATAGAATGTTAAACTTGTACTTAGGGATCAGGAAGTCGGGTTTTATTCTTTCAATTCAACTCAGAGATGATTGTTAATTGAGATCTACGCATACTTGATATTTATCAGTAAGATGAAAATATTTAACCATTTTAATTGACACTATAACAAGAAAACTCACTAATAAAAGCCTGACGATCATCTTCTTCACTTATAATGAAACAACGTGGGAAAAAACGATCAGCATCACAGTCAGCAAACCATCTAATATTACGTAATTGTCGACAAAGACCAACCTGCATAATTACAACGATATAATATGCATAATAATAATATAATAATACACTTTATTCCAAACAATTTGTGCCACAATTTGGAATTCTCAGCATGATATATTGCAACAACAACAAAATATAGGTATATTTACACCTTTTTACGACATTTCGAGTTGTGCTATTATAAAAATTCAAGTAGTGTAAGGAATACTAATCACGAGAGAATTTTACATTATTAATTAGATGATTGAAATAAAATTGTTAACTGTTACGAAGTTGATATGTGAGTTCTGTTCTATCACGCTTTTCTCCACATAACATTCGTCCTAGGTAAGGTACAGTCAAATTCTTATACTTACCTATACCGGCGTACAGTCACATGTAATTTCTTTTTGTCCTCAATATAAGTGTAAAACTTCGGCACTATGGTCGACTGTAATTCCATCTTAGTCTGTTTATCAGAAATGTCATACACTGAAGAAACGGTATTATTTACTCGATAACGTTTCGGATGCAATTTATTGTCCATATTCATATCAAGTAACTCCACAACTTCGAGACAGTCTTCATATTTTCCTTTTTTCTCTTCTTCTTTGTGATGACAAGGGTAAGAGAATTGTTCATATATCTGGGACAGGTGCAGAATCATTTCAGCTGCATATGTTTGGTGTTGATTCGATGAACAAATATTCGGTTAAAAAAAATACATTATTATTTTAAAAAAAAGGGGAAAAAAAGGGGGAGTAAGCAAAAAAAAAAAATAAGAGTACATCGAACTTGGTTTTCAATAGTTGAATTTACCAAGGAAGATTTAATGTGGCAACAAATTGTTTATGAACACATAAAGGTGGTTTCAACTTACTAATAGCTAAGGCTTCAACAAATTTCGGGATCCCTCCCCAACATGTTTTGTAAATAGGTGTAAAGGAAGCAGCCACATCAATCTTGTGACCTGTCTCAACGATATGTTTGGCAATCGAAGAACTTGGACGTCTGCTACCAACAAAGGGAACTAATTGTTTTAAAAATATTCGGTTATCAATCTCTCCATCCATCCAACCAAGTTAGTTTTCAACACTGTCTCCCTATCCCACCCTACTGTGTGATTGTGTGTCATCGCATGCAGAGCTATAGCCGAGTTTTTCTCTAGATTTCTCTTCTTATTAGCATCTACTAATCTTGATTTAACCAAGTTTTTGCGCTATTTTATTTTAATCCACCCTGGTCGACTACTTCGACCTATAGATTCGACCTCGTAATCATTGCAAGGGATTCGGTAAACCAGACTATTTTGCTTAATTGCATCCATAGGATCTTTTAACCCACAAAGCTTGTCTGTAAGGGGGTTTGTTGGTTTAGATGTCACTTTCATCTCTGGTTTATTGAGAATTCTTCGTAATGCCTCTAAGGTGCCTTCCTTGAATGGTAACATAGCACAGGCTTTGAATTCCCTCTCAACCCTGTCACCATTATTACCACTAGAAGTGGGATTATTATTGATAACATATGTATTACTACTACTACTACTACTACTACTACTACTACTACTACTACTACTACTACTACTACTACTACTACTACTACTACTACTACTACTACTACTACCTCTGCTAATATTTTTCTTTCGATTTCTTATGAATTTATGCATACATTTGGTGGGTAATTATTGAGATGTAGGGTATTCTTCATGTGCCCAATATCTTATTGAGATTTTACGATCTACTAGTAAGCTTTTTCACTCTATCAGCTACGCATTTAACTAGGCCTACTTTAACTGAAATCGGGTGGGAGGAATCGAAGTCTAAGTAGCGACTCCAATGGGTAGGTTTCCTATAGACACTAGTCTCTAGACTTCCTTCTTGTGTTCGTTTAATCTTGCAATCCAACACTGCTAGCTCACCTTCTTCACTTTCTAAGTCACAGGTAAGTTGCTCCTCCCTGACAAGATATAAAGAGAGAGTTGTGAATGAACTGGATGCTCAGTGTCAGTTAGAATTTATGTAGCCAGTCGCCTGCTAGAATTTAAATGTCTATCAACTACAGTGTTAATCAGCTGAACCAGAGGCACACTACTCATACTACTGACGACTTTCAAAGTCCTACACAATATAACATAGTCCTCTTTTAGAAAACCACGAAACATCAGCAGAGAACAATACAGAAGAATAGGTAAAATCCAGGAATTAATAAATCGTAAAACTAGACGTTGAGTTATATCGCAGAGTCATAGTTTCCATTTGTAATATGTTAAACAAAACAACTTTTATGAGTCAGCAAGATAAGAGACGACCAACAAAGGTCAGAAGTAAAACTCAACCAAACATAGTTAACACTCGATTTACCTTCTGCAGAAATACCATCAATACAACAGGCGTCATGAGACTCAAGCAGTTCACACAATTCTTGTCTACACTTGAAGCTAAAATTAACAGTCTGACATTTAGGAGGGTTTAATTTGAGACCATTTGAAAGAGAGAATTGGTCAATTACAGACAAGAACCCATTTAATTTACAGAGTTAACTGGAATAGACACCGTCAGGTCATCAGCGTGCTTCATAAAATTAGTTTCAACAGAATTGGGTAAATCATGCGAAAAGAATTAGAACAGAAAAGGAGAAAGTACAGCATCTCGAGATATACCAGCTTCAGTAAGCAATTAAGTGGAGCGCATCCCTTTATGGACAGTGTACTGTTTACTTTCAGAAAAATAAGAAAAGAACCACTTTGTAACCTATCACTCAGTATGAGCCGGGGCAAACTTTTTTAACAAGACTGGTCTGTAAACAGAGTCAGAGGATGATGAGTAATTCAAGAAGGCACAACAAACATACTTAACACTATCTAGACTACAAACAATATTATGATCCAATCCAGTGACACCATCCAAAGCACTTCTGTGTTTGTAAGTAAATTGTTTTGGATCTCTGAAAACCATCAATGAAGTCTCAAGCATAGGGAGACGTAATTTCTCCATTGTCTCTAGAAAAAAGGAAGTTATAGCAATGGGTCGAAATGTGGCATCTGATCCAGAAGATGACTTAGGCATAGGTACAATTTTGATCTCTTTCCAAGCAGTGGGTAGTATGTTTTTAGAAAAGGATGCATTGAAGATATTTGTTAGGGGATGACATAAAATATCAGCACATATCCCAAATATAGTACTCGAAACATCACCAGTACCTAAGCTTTGAGATGCATTCAACGATTTTAGACATTTAAGTACATCATGGGTAGTAAAAACTGGAAAGCAGCTGTCCCTAGGATTAAGAATGACATTAATCTATACATAGAATAATAGTTTGCTGGGAGTGAGTTGGAAAAAGTAATGAAACCATTTTTACAGAAGTCAAATAAGATTTTCATTATTACAGCTAATTTATCATGGTAATAAATATAAATTTAATTAACTCCATCATTATTTATTACGCGAATTCATCTTCATTTAGGTATTCATCACGGACTGATATTAGTTGGGGGTACATTAGAGACCTAGGAGCAATGAATAGCTGGGACTCCTCAGCAGTGAGCACCTCGGACCTTCAGGTCCCACAGCTATCCCGTTATCATTGAGCCACTGGTTCGGAATCCAATGGTCCATATTTCTAACCTCTGTCAGTTCTTCATATAGTGTGACCTCTATCTAATGCCATCACTAATTAAGTATCCTCATGTTCGACTTGGTTGGCTCTACCGGTTATGACTTCTCATTGGAACTTCGAGAATCACCTCTAGAAGCTAGTCACCAATCAGCACAGTAGTAAGAAATGTTGACGACCGGATTCCGAACCAGTGGCTTTATGGAAAAGTACAAGACACGAAATCTGAAGGTCATGAGTTCGATCCCTGGAGGAGTCGGGTCATGTCTGCGTACTGCTGAGGAGTCTCGTACTACGACGGAACAACTGCAGTCCAGTGCTCCTAAGTTTCCAATATTCCTCCAACTGACGTAAGTCCATGATAAATATCATCTTGAAATCAATAAATCCCCGCATAACCTCAAAACTGAAATTTGTTTTCAACTACTGTTTCAATATTCTCCACTTGAATTTTTGTATGTTTTGTGCCTGTAACAATATTCACTTGTACTATCTTGGAATTTATATGATTTTTACTAGTATTATTGTTGTTACAACACAAACCCGGTACAACATAGGTACCAAGAGATGTGCCATACAAAATAACAGAACAATATTATGCAATTGCAAGAAATGGAAGAGAGAATGAAAACAAACATACTAGTGGGATATTAAAGAAGCAGTCTCGAAAAAATATTCACTCCTCTCTTTTGGCGTTAAAGTTTATAGAATAAACAAGAAAATGGCCACATGATTGCCACTTGTTTCTATCCTGATCCATGTCTTTTATCGTCTTAAGCTTCTGAGTTGTATGATCTATCCAGCCCCATCGAAAGTGTCATGAGTCACCTCACCACAACTATCCCACCTCTTTGCTTATGCCATCCGGTACTAAGGCAAATGAATAGTGAGAGGTATAGGAACCACTAGGAGAACATGCGTAATGTATATTCAAGCCACCGATACCGGTGTTTCAAGATGATCATAACAAATGAATGACGATCCATCTCCATCACCCTCGAACACACTCCGCCCCACTTCAGAAGTAGTTACATGTCGTCTCTTCACAGAAGAGTTGTCAAACATCCTCAGCTTGAATAGACTAGTTTTCACGGGCTTAGAAAACAACTGCTTGCACCGACGCACTGTGTTGCTGGCTTTTGAATCAGACTTTCAAGAAGTGTGGAAAATTTCATTTGAGAAACTTTCAAACTAGCAAATTAGAGGTTGATTTTAGGGCTGAAGATGGAATGGTTCATTAATCCTAGATAGCTAATTTGTAGGACCGGATCAGTCGGCCACAACCATATCTAGATGCATGGAAAACAGTTAGTTTTATTGTAACAGTATTAAAATGGAGTTAGTAGTGGACATAAGGACCGGTATTTGCAGATATTTGAGACATAGATAGATCGACATAGTCACACTTGATTTAAGTGATCTCG